AAAAAGAAACTCTTATATGGCACCCTATAAGGTGCCATCCTATCCCCAATGCTTCAAAATATTTACATGAAACCACCAGGAGCAACCATTTGTAGGCATGGGGTGGGATGTTATCAGTATGCTGATGACACCTAAATATATTTCTCCATGCCTTCAAAAACAGCCACAGTTAAGGATATTGTGTCTCCTCTGAATGAATGCCTGGAAGAGGCAATGGGCTGAATGAGGAAAAACAAACTGGAACTGAATCTAGACAAAAAAGAAGTCTGGCAATGTGAATGGTCCTAACATGGCTATTTGGATGATGTGATCGGTGTTAGGACTGTTGTAACATCCCATCTAACAATTGCAGTTCACATGTGAACAAGTACAAAGTGACATCTCAGAATATGAGCTTAATTCAGGTGCACCTGACATACCCTATATCTAAAGAATTTTGTTCCAAATTGATAAGCTTAAGTTTTGGTTTTATTTGATTGAATAACTGATATTCTGGGTGAATATCATCGAGAATAAAAGGAGCCAAGGTAAAGTCACAGATTAGCCTGCATTTTGGCAAATCTTCTCTTCACCATATTAAGACATCTAACCATGTCATCTTAAAGCTGTGCTGTTTGCGATAGGCTGATAACTTGCCTAACCATGCTGAAAGATGGTACCAGTAAAACTTTCATCTAGATCAGGCAGCCTCAAATTGCTGCCCTCCAGCTGTGTGGGCCTCTAACTCCCAGAGTTTCTGGCCATTGAACAAACAGGCTAGGGATTCTGGGAGTTGGAGGCCCAAACAGTTGGAGGGCCACAGTTTGAGGATGCCTCATCTAGAGTTATGCTAAAATAGATATGTCCCATTCACAATTGTAATGTGTATCTGTCAATGTTCTTATGATTATAAAAGATATTACAGAATAGGAGGAGGAGGAATATTGGATTATAATTCATCCACATGCTTTTGTAATAAATAATGATGATGATGATGATGATAATCTAGATATATAAAAATGCTCTGTGCATAATGAGTACCTTAAAAACAAAAACAAAAACCCTACAGTGCCAAATCACCCCAAATTTGGCAGCAAAACTCACAATCCAAGGAGTGGCCATCACTGAAAAAAAACCCCACGAAAACACCATTAAATTCAAAAAAGGAAGAAGACAACACACCTCCCCTGCCCTCCCCTCATGCTGAGGACACAGCCAGCAAGGCCACCTTACATCACCTTCCCCTTTGCCTTCGTAGTCCTTGGAAGGTGAGGCGGGAGAAGGGACCTAATGGGCGAGGGAGCGTCAAAAGGAAGAGGAGGAGGGAGGCTCCGAAGCAGCAGCAGCAGCGGGGACAATGGCTGCTGCTCCCTGCATGTCTCTGGGCCCCTAACTAACACTAAGGCAAGGGATCAAAGGGCAGAGGCTGAGGAGAAGGAGGAGGGGGAGGAGAGAGGGGGGGGGGGAAGGAAAAAAGAGGGAGGAAGGGCCACACTCTGTGCACACACTCTGATTCTCTGTCTCCCATACACACACTCCCACAGCACAAGGGAAGAAGGTGCCATGATGGGGGTAATAGGGACGCACGAAACTGACATTGCTTGGAAAGGAGCCCAAAAGACCATCCAGCCCAACCTCATTTGGCAGTAAAGGAAGACACCATCAAAGCCCTCACAACAGATGGCCAACCAGTTGGGAGGGAACCCTAAAGGCCATCCAGTCCAACCCCCTCCTTCCCCCCTTCCTCCCTTTCTCTACTTCCCTTCCTTTACTTCTTTCCCTCCCTCCCTTCCCTCCTTCCTCCCTTCCTTTCCTTTTCTCTATCACTCCTCCCTCCCTTTCTTTCATTCACTCACTTCCCTTCCTCCCTTTCTTCCTTTTTCTCCTCCCCTCACCAGCTTCATCCTCCTTTATTAAATCTACAGTGTAGATGCACCTAAAGTCACCCCTTCCACACTGCCATGTAAAATCCAGATTATCTACTTAGAACTGGATTATATGGCAATGTAGACACATGCACACACACACACACACACACACACACAGAGATGGATGTTGGATCACTGGTTGTTATCTATATCTATATTTACAATACTTTATATATTACTATTATATATATTGCTATATAATACATATATATTATATTATATATATGATTGTTATATATATTACTATATAATATAATGCTACTACTATATATTACTATATTAAATAGACTCATAAAATAGAGTTAGAAGGGACTATAATGGAATTGGGGGAGAACAAACAAGAAGGAAGGAGAGAAGAAAGGAAGGAGTGAAAAGGGAAGGAATGTAGGAGGGAAAGGGGGAAGGAAGGAAAGAGAGAAGGAGGGAGGGAGGGAAGGAAAGAAAGAGGTACTGAAAGGAAGGAAGAAGAGAAAGGAGAAAGGAAAGAAAAGGGGGAGGAAAGGCAGAAAAAAGGTAAAGAAGGAAGGGAGGAGAAAAGGAAATAAAAAGTGAAAGAAGGAAGGAAACAGGGAGGGAAGAAAGGAGACAAAGGAAGAACTAGAGAAAGGAGGAGGGAAGGAAGGAAAGAGAGAAGGAAGGATGAAACCAAAGAGTGAAAGAAGGAATGAAAGAAAGGTAGAGAAGAAGAAAGGAAAGAAAGGGGAAGAGGAAGAAAAAAAAGGGGGGGGGGAGGAATAGGTAGGTACCACTCTTTCATAATAGTCCAGATACCTCTACTTCAAAAATTCATACTATAGGCTACAGAAACATGTGGCAGGGCACAGCTAGTAATAATATAAAACTTTATTTATATACCACTCTATCTCCCCTAGGGGACCCAGGGCAGTTTCCATGTACCAAAACACCAAAACATACAGAGTAAGCAAAACATAAGCATAATCAAAACAACACATATACATTAAAAACCAGTCTTACTTTACTCTTTCGTGCAAAATTACTGTTCGGGCCAGGATTTCAGAATGGGCCTAGGCAAATTAAGAGGGTTGCACTGAGGCTAGTGCAAGGCAAGACATGGGGGGTAGGGGCAGGGGAATAGGTAAAGTGCAATAACCGGTCCCAACAATAGTAATAATGGGGCCTGTGGCTGCTCAATTCCAGGGCCTATTGGGAACTGTTGGGGGTAATGGGTAGGAAGTACAAGGCCAGATTCTAATAGTGGCCAGGGACTGGAGCTAGTCCTAGTCGTTCTCAAAGGCTTGGTAAAACCAAGTCTTCAAGCTCCTACGAAAAGTCTTCAAACTCTTACAAAAAGCAGAAAAGGATGGGGCCTGTCTTATTTCCCTTGGGAGGGCATTCCAGAGGTGGGGGGGGGCACCACCGGGAAGGCCCTCTCTGTCATCTCCACCAGCTGTGCTTGTGACAGTGGTGGGAGTGAAAGAAGGGCCTCCCCGGTAGATCTTAGAATTCGCGCTGGTTCATAGAAGGAGATGTGATAGCGAAGACAGGTGGAGCCCGAACTATTTAGGGCTTTACAGGTCATAACCTGCATCTTGAATTTGGCTCAGCAACTTATCGGTAGCCAATGGATCTGTTTTAATAGGGGCATAGTATGCTCCCTATAGTTTGCTCCAGTTTAAGACTGGCTGTTCACATCTAAATGCACAAATCTATATGAGAGAAAAGAAAGTCGCATTGTTCATCATCATCATCATCATCATCATTTAATAACTTATTAATCGCCCTCCATCCGAGAATGCTCCAGGCAATTTACAGCTAAATTGTAAAAGATAAAATACATACATACAGAATTTAAAAATTAATAGAGATCGAATGCTCTAGTAAAAAAAGCCAGGTCTTAAGTGCTAGAGTAAAAGGCCCTAAGTCATGCATGGCTCTCATGTAGGGCGGCAAGGAATTCCACAAGGCAGGGGCAGAAATAGAAAAAGCCCTGCGTCTGGTCCTTTCCAAGTGCACTTCTCTAGGACCCGGTATATGGAGTAAGTCACGTTGGGCTGGTCGTTGCAACCTCCGATGATGGGAGAAGGAGAGGCGGTCCCTAAGGTACGATGGACCCTGGCCATAAAGAGTTTTAAAGGTCAGAACTAGCATCTTATACAGGCCACGGTACTCAGTTGGAAGCCAATGTAAATGTTGCAGCACTGGTGTTATATGGCATTTCATGGGCGTTCTTGTGAGTAACCTGGCTGCCGCATTCTGAACAATACGGAACTTTTGGGTCGTAGACATCGGAAGGCCCACATACAGGGCGTTGCAATAGTCCAGCCTAGATGTGACCGTGGCATGGATGACTGTTGCCAGAGCCTCATCTGACAGGTAAGGTGCCAGTTGCCTCATTGTCGTAGATGGAAAAAGTCCTGTTTGCTGGCAGCAGCGACCTGAGCTTCCATTGTCAGCTGTGAATCCAGGATGACACCTAAGCTCTTAACAGTGGTCGATGGAGATAGGGCGGCACCATCGAAGGTGAGTAATGGAGGAGTCAGACCTGCCGGGCAGCCATGCCAGAGAATCTCAGTCTTCGCCGGGTTCATCTTCAGTCTGCTAGCACGTAGCCAGTTTGACAGAGCTTCCAGACATAGGGTGAAATTGTCTGGAATTGACGTTGCTCCAGGCTCCAGATGCAGAAGGAGTTGGGTATTGTTTGCAGGGCTGCTAGCTGATGAGACAAGTATCTGACCTGGATTGCTTTTGCACAGGTATTCTCATATCCCCCAGCTGTCCCAATGCTGCAGAGCTAGTCTGGATTAATTCCCTGCCATCCCAGGGAGAGGAGAGGAAAGCCTGGAATCTTGCTCTTCCCAGTAGGCTCAGGCAAAGTGATGTAGTCAGTCCTGTGTGAAGAATTTCCACATTAATCACATTTGCCATTTTGGTCACACTCAGATTTTGCTTGGCCACATGAGTCCCGGTTCTCATCTGAGAAATGTAGGATGGTATGATTTCAACACATCAAATTTCTCTTCAGGATAGAGATGCTATGGCCACAGTCCATGTTGCTGTTAGGTCTGCTCATGAAGACTGTCTTGGCCACACCCCTCAGCCAGAAATACATTGCTGATGTAACAAGGATTAAGTTCTTTGGCATCTCAGCTGGGGACAGGATCGAGGGAGCCGCAAGGGGGGCAGGTTTCAGGGCAGCTGGAAAGCCACAGCTCGAGAATCTCTTGGGTGAGAAAAACCACAGAGGAAACCAACGCAGGGTTCTAATCCCCACCTAGGAAGCACCTGCCATTTCAAGACTGTGCAACTGGACTTTACTGCGTCCTGAGATCGGGCTCATACAGGTATGGGGAGGTCTTGTTTCTTGCTTCAGAGGCTGTCAGTAGTAAGGGAAGTGCCGCAAGGAGAAATATTTGAAAACACTGGAAATCTTGAATTGGGTTAGTGTGCTCAACAGGTGTTATCTTGGAGTGTGTAGCACAACCTTTTCAGGGCTGACATGTGGGTCTTAGTAAGCTGAGAAAACGCTAGCAGCTAGCAAGGAGGTAAAAACTAGATTTGTCAAGAGAGAGCATAGATGTGGCTAGTATCCACCCAGTAACAAATCCAACATATGGTGGTGTGTTGTATTTGTTTTATAAAGTTGTGTTAAGGTTCTGATACAAGTGGGGGCTGTGAATGGGATTGCGGCTTCCATCCTCCACTGCAACATGAAAAATTTGACAAGGAGATGGCAAGTAATTCAAATCAAGAGAAATGGTGCACAAAATGAGGTACCTTTCTCTGTAATTAGGAAGGGCTGCAATAAGATTTTGAAAAAAAATGGAAGATTAGTGGCTGTTTGATATATCCTGACTTTTGCAATGACCAAACTGCAAATTTAGTCCTAGTTCTAGTCAATGGGCAGATAATAAAATCTCCTTGTCCAAGATTAGCATGGGAGCCCACCATTTACTGCTGATGACAGTTCACCCAGAAAAGGTTTCTGGCAGAGGAAATGCTATGTAAGAACAAACTTTGACTGATCTCCAGCACTGCATTACTTTAGATGCCCTGGCTGGACACTGGACACTACCCCCACAGAAACAGCAAATGGGGAAAAGGCTCTTGACCCAAGCTGGTGATCATTTTTAAACCATGAAATGCATAGCTCAGTTGGCTTTGTAACATTAGCTCCAATCAGCTAGCTAAGTGCTAATTGGTTTTCCAGTTTCTAGTGCTCTCCGTTTCAAGCATTTCTAGTTCCCTGTTGGACTGTCTTGTAGCATGAATATGGATGAGTTCAAAACATTCCTTTTGACTTTGTTGGAGAGAGCAGGACCATATGAAACTCGTCAACCAACTTTGTTTTCAGTGAAATTTGAGGACAAATCACCTGATCCGCAGCCAACCCAAAGATTTGCAGCTTGTATAAGAAAGAGTCAATATATGTTCAAAGGCTGGAATATCAACACAACTGGAATAATGCCCTTTTTACAAATAAAGAAACTGAATAGTGAGACTGACTGATCTCTCCACTATTAAGAATACTGAAGTCACGAATGAGTTTTTATTCTGCTTTCCTCTAAACACAAATGGCAAATGTGTCAAGATGGCAAGCTGATGTTTGAGCTAATTCTAAAGTTTTTAGTTCACTGACACATTTTTATTTATGGCCATAAATGAAAGGGCAGGGAAATAGCAATTAGTGGGAATGGAGGAAACCCATACCCTCCTAGTTACAGAAGGCTTCAGAAGACAAGAATAAGGAAACAGGAGCTTCATTCTGCAACACCAGATGTGAATTCCTGAATTCCAGCCTGAATTCTGGTACATTGGTTCATAAATACACGTCATACAACCCCAACATAAAAAAAGCCTTTTTTCCAACTAATCTGCAAGGGATATTCTCCCAGTTCTATTGGAATACATCCATGGGAGCACATCAGTTTATGCTAGTGATATATTTGCAAGGTGACACCAATTGAAACAAGTGCCCAAATGAATGGAGCCTCGTTCCCTGACAAAACCAAATCAATCAATTGGGTAAGAAATCTGGAACTGTTGCTCATTCTGGACAGACGTGAGACATTGTCCTGTGGATCTGTATGATCTCTCGATTGAGCACGCCTGTCTGCCTCTGACCTCAATGAGATCATTATCTCAAAAATCCCTGCCTACATCCTTCACGGTCCAAGGATCAGGGTTACATCTCTCACTGCTCCCAGGTCAGTAGCTTAAAATAGGTGCTGCTGATGTAGGGAAGTGTTCTGGTAGCATTGGAGAAGAGCACATCCAGACATGAAGCAAGGGGCAGAGGTGCCTGAGGCTTTATGCTTTTCCTCTTCCTTTGATAACACAAAGGAAGAGGAAACGCATAAAGCCTCAGGCATCTCCAATGATAACACAGACTCCTACATATTTCACTTCTTTGTCATGAAAGCTCATCACAAAAGAATATTCCACTGAGTGCCCATAGGAAGGCATACTGACCACAGGAATCCAGAGAGGCAATGGGGTGTGGCATTCATAGAGTTGGATTAGGATTTGAAAGATTTAGGTTAAATCCTCACTGGGCCATGGAAGGTAGTTGACTGACTTTGGGAAAATCATTTGCTCTCATTCTAACCTACCTCACAGAGTTGTTGTGAAGATGAAATGGGGAGGACGAAAGCTATGCACACTTATGCGCACTAGGGGAAATTTCTTCTACTACTATTTCCTGAAGCTGAAGAGATCAAGAGAAGGTGGCGAGACTATACAAAAGATCTGTATAGGAAGGATAATAATATTGAGGACAGTTTTGACGGTGTGGTGAATGAATTAGAACCAGACATCCTGAGGAGTGAGGTTGAATGGGCCTTAAGAAGCATTGCTAACAACAAGGCAGCAGGAGACGACGGGATCCCAGCTGAACTGTTTAAAATCTTAAAAGATGATGCTGTCAAGGTGATGCATGCCATTTGCCAGCATATGGAAAACACAAGAATGGCCATCAGACTGGAAAAAATCAACTTATATCCCCATACCAAAAAAGGGAAATGCGAAAGACTGCTCAAACTTCCGTACAGTGGCCTTTATTTCTCATGCCAGTAAGGTAATGCTCAAGATCCTGCAAGGAAGACTCCAGCAATACATGGAGCGAGAGTTGCCAGATGTTCAAGCTGGGTTTAGAAAAGGCAGAGGAACAAGAGACCAAATTGCCAATATCCGCTGGATAATGGAGAAAGGCAGGGAGTTTCAGAAAAACATCTACTTCTGCTTCATTGACTATTCTAAAGCCTTTGACTGTGTGGATCATAATAAATTGTGGCAAGTTCTTGATGGGATGGGCACACCAAGCCACCTTGTCTCTCTCCTGAGGAATCTGTACAAGGATCAAGTAGCAACAGTAAGAACTGACCACGGAACAACAGACTGGTTCAAGATTGGGAAAGGCGTACGGCAAGGCTGCATCCTCTCACCCAACCTTTTTAACTTGTATGCAGAACACATCATGCGATGTGCGGGGCTTGATGAATGCAAGGCTGGGGTGAAAATTGCTGGAAGAAACATTAACAACCTCAGATATGCAGATGACACCACCCTGATGGCCGAAAGCGAGGAGGAGCTGAGGAGCCTTCTAATCAAGGTGAAAGAAGAAAGCGCAAAAGCCGGGTTGCAGCTAAACGTCAAAAAAACCAAGATTATGGCAACAAGAATGATTGACAACTGGAAAATAGAAGGAGAAACCGTGGAGGCCGTGACAGACTTTGTATTTCTAGGGGCCAAGATTACTGCAGATGCAGACTGTAGCCAGGAAATCAGAAGACGCTTACTTCTTGGGAGGAGAGCAATGTCCAGTCTCGATAAAATAGGGAAGAGTAGAGACATCAGACTGACAACAAAGATCCGCCTAGTCAAAGCCATGGTATTCCCTGTAGTCACCTACGGATGTGAGAGCTGGACCTTAGGGAAGGCTGAGCGAAGGAAGATCGATGCTTTTGAACTGTGGTGTTGGAGGAAAGTGCTGAGAGTGCCTTGGACTGAGAGAAGATCCAACCAGTCCATCCTCCAGGAAATAAACCCGACTGCTCACTGGAGGGAAAGATACTAGAGACAAAGTGAAGTACTTTGGCCACATCATGAGGAGACAGGAAAGCCTAGAGAAGACAATTATGCTGGGGAAAGTGGAAGGCAAAGGAAGAGGGGCCGACCAAGGGCAAGATGGATGGATGGCATCCTTGAAGTGACTGGACTGACCTTGAGGGAGCTGGGGGTGGTAACGGCCGACAGGGAGCTCTGGCGTGGGCTGGTCCATGAGGTCACGAAGAGTCGGAGACGACTGAACGAATGAACAACAACAACTATTTCCTGTCATTAGGTGCTGCCAGTTTGGCTTTGTGGTGACCCTGGAAATGAAAGACTTCAAAGACTTCCTGTTATCAACATTCCTGCCCAAGTCCTGCAAACTCTGGATCCTGGCTTCCTTGACTTGAGTCATGCCATCTGTATTGGGGTCTTTTATGACTGTTTTCAAATTCCATACTTGCAGTTTCACTTATCTGGTTCTGAGGGGAAATGCTCTTTCTGGGAATTTGCTAGGCCCTCTTGCAAGTTGCCATAGGGTTGCACTGGAAGACCAAGCAAATTCCTAGAGAGGCACTCCACTGGAATTACTTCTTTGTAGGAATGGGTCAAGTTATACTGTTAGTAAACAGCAAGGCAAAAGCGTTGGGCATTCATTTCCTCCTAAGGACCCTAGCTGGACATAGCTACCTGTGATAATGATCATTATTTCTCTATAAGTAAATATGTTTCAAGACATCTATATAAATAAAAATGTAATGTTTGTTTGTGGGATTAACATAACTTAAAAACCACTGGACGAATTACTGCCAAATTTGGCGACAAGACACCTACTAACCCAAGAAGTGACCATCACTGTTTTTTGCTAGAAACTGTGGAGTAAAAAGGGTATTAAAACAGCAGCAGCAGCAGCACACTAAAGTCCACAGGTACCTAAAAGAAGTGCTTTCAGTTCTGGAAGAACAATGTGTGTTCAAGCAGCACTAGGCTAGAGATAGCAACAAATTATTTTGTAGGTGTGGATTCAGCAATAGTGTATTTGTTCCCCAGGCATGGGGGTACACCTACACAGTCAAATTAATGCAATCTGACACCACTTCAACAGCCATAGCAGAATGCTATGGGGTTATGAGAGTTGTGGTTATATAAGATCTTTAGCCTTCCTTGTCAGCACTCTTTGGCTCATAAAACCATAAATCTCACCAAACTACAAACTCTATAATTCCATAGCATTTAACTATGGCAGTTAAAATGATGCCAAACTGCATTAACTCCACAGTATAGCAGTATAGAGGCAACCACGATCTCTGACTTTGCACGGCCCTCTGATAGGCATCTGGTTTCTCTAACTTCCCCAGAATGGCCAGAAAATGGACACCAGCGAACAAGCTAAATAAGTAGGCCTGGCCTGGCCACTTCTAAAAATTAATAGAATTCAAAAAGTCAGTTTAGATACTTGCATGTTTTTATTACCACAAAATGTCATTTTGGCTCAGAAACAAGCATAATTGTCCTCAATTTTAAAAGGATTTCTAAAAATCAGAATGAAAGCACAAATCTATTAAGATATACTATCCAAATTGAATAGGTTTACAAGTAAATGGTAATTTTGGGATACCATTAACAGAACTGATATATTTTTGAAAGGTTGTATAAAGAAAAATATGGTCAGCTCTAGCTTTCCCTTGCAGGTGGAAAAATGTTTCCTGTTCCACGACTGGATCTCAGGAGAGAGCAACACCCCCCAGTCTCAGCCATTATGAAAGAGATCAGGGAAAGATATGGTAAGATGCCCTCCTGGATGCAATAATCTCCTATTTTAGACTCGAAGAACCTGTAATCCTCCATATCTAGGACTGATGGGAATGAACATTCAAATGGTACCTGTGGTGTGGTATCAGTTCTTAATGTCTCTTCCAAATCATCCTTGAGTTGTTTCTCTTTCTGTTAAGTTTGGTTTCTTAGCCCAATGCAGGCATTTACAAGGCTTGCATCGAAAGCGTTGAGGAAGAAACCCTATAGTTGAACCTGTGGATTTCACATCCATGGATGCTCAAATCCTATTATATACAATGGCATAGAAAAGTAGTGTTCATTACATAAATTGGCAAAATCAAGGTTTGCTTTTGGGATTTTTGAAATATCATGGTATCATGGTTTAACAGTTACAGTGTTTATATTTTTATATGTATTTATGTATGTGATGTGTCGTATTTTATTTGATTGTATATGCAGCATTGGATACTGCCATATTGTAAGTCTCTCTGAGTCCCTCTTGGGGTGAGAGAGAGCGGGATATAAATATAGTAAATAAATAAATAAAATAAAAATAAATATTATTTTTGAATCCATGGATACAAAATCTGTGGGTATGGAGAGAGAACCGCATACATATCCTAAAGACTGAGAGCAGAAAGAAGCAGAGGCAAGCTCAAGTAACTTTGGGAAATGCAGCAATGAGAAATCTCCTTTGAAGAAAGTCTAATAAGAGTGTTATCATAACTGGGAGTTGACAAAAAGAGGCATAACAACAACAAAAGCACATCATGTGTCTGTGTTTTCTCAGGTCCAAAGTTGGACTTAGGGAAGAAGGTTAGCGTCCCTCAGGATCTGATGATGGAGGAGCTTTCTTTACCGATAAATAGGGGATCCCAGCTATACCAGAAGAGGCAGAAAAGGGTGCAACAGTTTGTGCTGGAGCGTCCCAAAGAGTACACACTGGTAAGTCAACATGGGGTTTTTTTTTACCTTATGCTGGAATGCTAGCAGCCACAGTGGAAGATGGCAAGACAGATGTCAGAAGCATTTGTTTCAACTCCAATGATGTGACCTGAATGGGGGACAAGGAAACCTTGGCCCTTGAGATGTTTTTAATTATGACACCCATCTTCCCTTACTAGTAGTCAGGTTGAGTGAGACTGATGGAACTCTACAGCGAAAGCATATGGAAGGCTGATGTTTCCACTCTGGATCTGAGTGACAGGTTGCTAGCTTTCTAAATGTCAAGTTGCTAGGGTGGCTTTTGGTTGCCAAACCATCCCAAGCCACTTTGTTGGCTTGGAAGGAAGCTAATTTCTTTTTTCTCATTTGATTATTAAAATGTTTGCATCTCATCCCACCTTTCTTGCCCAACAGACTGCTAAGATGACTCATGTGATACTGATAATGTATAAGACAAGCAAGAACTGAGTCAGCCATCAAATTAAAAAACCAAAAAGGAGGGAAGGTGGAACAAAAAAGTTTTAACCATAAGCCAAACCGTAGAACTTGAGAAACTTAACATTTTTAGATGAAAGAATCTAAATTTACTAGGATTCTGTGAATTGTGATCCTTTTTTTTTTTTACCAAAGTGACAGTGAGGAAGACGTCACATGGGTTTTCCGTCATCGAAATGTTTTAACGGAAAAGACTTTTTTTCTGTGTCACAATAGCTGAACCTCTGATGCTAATGGGATGTGATTCAAAAACCTCTATTTATGATTATTACAATGGGTGGGCAGTTTGAGATGTAAGAAGGCAATTATTCAAATATCCTGGCCCTAAACTGTTAAGAGGTTTAAAGGATAAAATGCTCTAGAGGTTATTAGCAGCTATGGTATATCCTTTTGAGCCAAAAGATGATAGGAGAGCAAGAGTCTACAAGCTTATCTTCTTGGTGATGCCAGCTGACCCAGAAAATCAGGACACCTTTGCCCTTATTTTGAGGGATGCTCATGTATGATTGTGGTTATGTGTTGAATGGCCGTTATCATTTTGCAGACATGTAGCTATCTGATTATCTATGTGGTCTAAGGCAGGTCTGAAGAACATCTCAGCCATGAGAAGTTTTTCATCCAATTCATGACCTTCTTCTGCAACGCCTGAGGCACGTCTCTCTCATGCTGTGCTGGAAATCATTACTCTTATCTCCCACCACCTATTGGAGCTAAGAACTGGGTTTTCCCTATTTATTGCTAAAGAAAGATATACCTTTTTCAGGACAGTCATGAGAGATAAACCTAAACTTTCAATAAGGCATGTAGGTAAGGCATTCAAACCAACCCCTGCAAGGAAAAGAATCAGAGTTATTTTTCAAAAGCTAATTTCTGTAGTTTACATCTCAGGCCCCTTCTACACTGCCAATAATCCACATTATCTACCTTGAATTGGATTGTCTGAGTTTACACTGTCATCTATTTATGTTCAAAGCAGATAATCTGGATTTTATATAGCAGTGTAGAAGGGGTCTCAGTGGGCTTACATAGAACTGAGGTATGCTTTCGATGCCTGAAACTTGTTGCTACTGGATTTACTCCCAGATAGACATAAATGTGTTCTGGAAGTTCCCCTCAAACAGCAAGCATTTAAAAGATGAATTTTAGCTCAACAGAGGGCCTTCTACACAGCTGTATAAAATCCAGAGTATCCGTTTTGAACTAGATTAACTGGCAGTGTAGACTCATTTAATCCTGTTCAAAACAGAAAATGTGGATTATCTGCTTTGATAATTTGGATTATTTATATGGCATTGTAGAAGGGGTCTATGTAAACACTCTTGTATATTTGAGCAGATATTCTTGGACTATAGAATAAAACAAAACAACACTAAATTCAAAAGTTAATTGTACAAATGAATACATAATGTCATGAATCCTCCAGAGGTGTCATTACCCTTTTATAGTTTCTCATGTTTAATGAAACCAATACTGGGGATTAAAAGTGCAATGAATTAACAAGAAAGGGCAACCCCCCCCCCCCCTCATTTTCCCATTAGTGGAAAAGATCACTGAAGGAATGCCCCCAATGGCCTTGTTTTTCAGCTTCTCAGCTCTAATAACACATGAAAATCAGTCTTCTGAAGCTTTCTTATTTTATGCCTTAAAGTGTTAAATAAATAAATGTACATCTTCTAATCTCAGAATGGTTTTAAGATTATATCACTGAAGTAGTGATTTCTCAGGGGTTTTTTTTACACAATTTACATTTGACAAAGCTACTTTCCCCCTGCCCAATCAAAACTGGCATTGCTTTATTAGCAATGGAAATGGACATATAGTCCGAGGCATGAATGTGCAATATTTTGAGGCTTGAGGCATAGGCGAGTGGTTTCTGTGTAGTGGGTTGTAAATCCAGAATTGATTTTAGTCTGAGTTATCAAATATGTTTAGCCCTCAGCCCCTGAATATTTTTAGCACTTTGTATAGTTCCTTGAGTGCTTATAATAAAATCTGAAGTGGGTTTCCTGACCTTTGAACATGAGAGCCAACAGCCGCCAGGGGACCATGTGGCCCCCTCCCCATTGAACCCAGCAGGGGCATCCCACTTCCAGCATTTCCGCTTCCAGAAAGCTGCTGCAGATGCAACTGTTTCCACCCATGCCAACAATGCTGATATTTCTGGTTCCGGGATTTTGATGGGAAACATAATGCAGCAAAGGGAACAGCATGCCCCTTCCTTCCCAGAGAATCATGACCCCAATAGCCTTGTGCAAATCTTGTTTCTCTTAGGAAAAAATGTGCATGTGAAATGCATCCATTCTTCCATCAGAACTGCCAAGACTTTGATGGAATGATATATCAGGCAGCAGTGGCAGAAGACTGGGGATGCCAAATTGGTCAGAGGAACAGCAGCATGTGTTATGCAGGTTGTATTTTGCTATCTTCTGATGTAAGAACAAGATGATGTGCTACTCTCATGCCATTTGGCTGCAAATTTCAACCGAGTGTCACATTAGGAACCACTCAGTCAGGCTCTGCATGCTTGCCACCTCAGGACATCTGCATGATCCTCCTTGCCCATGCCAGGTGTTAGTGCTCTTTTTTCTTGCTGTCTTTGCAGACCTCAATGAAAACAGTTGGATCAGAAGGAGGTTCCAATGCAAACCACAATGAAGCAGGAGCAACGGAAGGCTGGATGGTCTCTGAATGTTGCACGGAGTAGGGTGGTGATTCTTCAGGGTGGCCATGGGTTGCAGAGGAGACTTTTCTACTTGTGAAATCTTTCTATATGGAAGGCTGTTCAATCCAACATTTAAAAAAAGAAGGGAAGGTTTTTGAGGTTGCCTATCAATGGTTAGATGAGTGCTAAGCTTCCAGTGAGATCTGATTTTGAAGAGTTCCTTTGCAAAAGGAATTTACCGTACTTCATTAGCCATTATAAACTGACACTGTGTTGGTGAATTATAATCACACATCACTTTTTTGGTTGTGGCAAATGTTGGGTTTCTGGTCTGAGCATGCAATGATCCAAATATTTCCTCAAAGTCCACCTTGTAAGCAGCAGTTCCTCCACCCAACACAGCAATTGCTGTGTTGTCAGTAGGCAAGCAGTTAGTAAGGATATCTCCAGCTAATTCCCTGAAGCTGGACATTCTGCAAGAATGTGATCTGCACAGACTTCCCAAGAAATGCTCCCTCTAAGGACACTGCACATGGCTATTGCAGCATGTCTACTCACAGGGGAATAGCTGGACACATCACTAAATCCTTTACTCTCCAATATGGAAATAGCTGGGCTGGAGGGCTGTTTTGCTTAAATGGTGAGTAAAGGTGGGACAGCATTTGGAGTCATGATATACCTCATATCCAGGTGGAGGTACTCAGCTCACAATGCTTTAACCACCATTTGTTATTTGTTATAATATTGAAAAAAATAACTTGCTGTTTTGCTCACTATTTTTATTACTTTTTGGAAGGGGAAGATATTTGATTGATAAGAATGGCATGCAATCTGAAATTTCCTATTAAATGCCATTCTTTAAGTGTCCCTTGCTTGAAATGTTATTTACTACCTCAGAAAAGAACGGGAGTTTAATTTCTGTTCATTCACTATTATTCTAATGTAACTTTGCTACACTTTCACTGTCAGAAAAAGAATGGCTTGTTGCAGGCAGCTATACTACTTCTAATCCAATTCTATAAGTGAGATAGTGTCCAGAATTCTCCTGGATTAGCCCCAGCTAGAGTAGACTCATTCAATCAATTGTTGAATGGTGAGTTAACATGTAGTAAATCCAATTGATTCAATATTGTACTTAAGTTCAGAATAATAATAGGATTTATAGTGGGTTTCTCTGTAACATAAGAAACATCATTGCTGAATTTGCATCTAGAAATAGAAAAGAAACATATTTAAACTATGAAGCTTTGTCCTCTCATGTCTTCTGGAGGCATTGTATGGGTGTAATACTTTGGGTTATTCTGCATTATATTTAAGTGGCCACTCTAGAAGCCATGAAAGTTACAGCACTGTTACACCAATACAAATGTCAACAGGATTTTGATCTGCCCTTATCCTATTTTGTTAGAATCAATATTTAAGCAGCAAAAAAAAAAAAAATCAGCCTTGGAGCTCTTTGCATTCAATAGCAAGACTATAATTATGAAATGTACAAGATCAGTTTTAGACTGAGGTCTCACTGGTTTTGGGAAGAGTGTCCTTGCATTGGAGGCAACTGCTAATTGTCACAGCCAATGCAAGTTTATCTTTCTATTTCTGAACCCCAAAAGTAGCTATTCATCAAAATGTCTGAATAGGATTCTATTCCTAATTTACTACGACTACTACTGTAAGTCCTTCACTTTCTCAGGGATTATGTACAAAGCTATGAAAGTGGAAAAATCAGTAATTTTTAAATATCTGGCAAAAGTAGACCATAGAGTCATGCTGGAGTACCTAGTGATTTCTAGAAAGAACGTATTAATCAAATTTGCAAATAATCAAATTAGAAAAAGTTCAACTCACAAATGTGGAGGTGTAGAAGACTTATTATTATTATTATTATTACCAATGTTATTTATATCCTTTCTTTTTTCCAAGACTTTGATGCAAGGCATATTACATATTAAAAAGATTACAGTTAAAAACATACAAAAATCCACATTAAAGCTAAGATCTAATTCTCCCACAAGACACTAGAGAAGGTTGGGGGTGACAGTAAATATTTCTTGTTTTTTTTCTCATAGAGCAACCACAATGCAGAGGGGAAGGAGAATGTCCCAGATGGCCTCCAAGCTGCAGTTTCAGGCAAGGGAGCACCACCAAAGGTACCACAGAAGACAAGCAAAGTCTTGAGGATGAGCAAAGCCCTGAATCCCAATGCCATTGCACCAGGTGAAGAACCAATCTTTAGGAACATGACCACTGGACATGCTTTTAAAAATGCCAGTAGTGTTAGCTGAATTTCTCAACCCAGGCTCAAAGACACTCTTATGTGCAGATGAAGGATTTCTTAACAATATTGTGATAGACAGAAATTGGGGGGTCACAATCTGTTGGTTACAACTACATGACTGCGACCAGGTGTGGGGATAGTGCAGCCCTCCAGATGTTGTAAAATGGCTGCTCCCAGTGTTCCCTAATCTGCAATACTTCAGATATCTTTCAGCTGAGGAGCCATCAGGCTGAAATAGTAGGAGTTGTGAGATGACATTGTCAGACTATGACAGTGGAGAATCTCAGGCTCTGGCTTACACAGATATGTGCTGGATTGATGCCTATGTATGTCATTAAAGGATCCCAACTAATGTCTTTCAGGTTTTTCTTTCATTATAATAAAGATACATTCGGCATTCCCAATGCAGGTTATTCTGGTCCTCTAAAGGAGATGCCCCCAGAGAAGTTCAACAGAACAGCCATCCCCAAAGGCTACCAGTCTCCTTGGCGGGAATTCCTTAGCAGTGAGGATTACCAAGTAGACCACGAGATCCGTTTGCCTGAACCTCCCAAGAAAATGAACATTTCTGATCTTCGGAGCTTCAACAGGTAATGGCTTACTACATTTCTCTATGGAATTTTTCCATAAATTGCAAACAATCTGAAGGCACATACAACAACTTGTTTTTACACTAATTGTTCCTAGGCTTAGTAAGCAAGAGGTTTAGAATGCCTTTCTATTTTCACCTTAATGAACTGTTAGGTTGTGGGGGAGGAGGTAACAAGGAGATATTTATTTATATTTATTTATTTCAAGCATTTATACCCCTTCCTTCTCAACTTCTGAGGAGGGACTCAGAACGGCTTCCAAACAGGCAACAATTCGATGCAAAACATGATTTAAAACACCAAATAAATACATTCATACACACATACACACACACACACACAAACACACACACACACAAACACACACACATATATAAATTAGTTCGCCATATTAAAATCACCATATTAAAATCATCATCCAAAACAGTCCAAGTACGGTCCAATAAAATCTTATCTTCCCAGTAAAACAACTATTCTGTGAACGCTTGATCCCATAACCAGGATTTAAATTTTTTATTCCGGAAGGTCAGAAGGATGGGAGCGGATCTAACTTCATTAGGGAGGGAGTTCCACAGCCGAGGGGCCACCATGAAGAAGGCCCTGTCTCTCATCCCCACCAAATGCTATTGTGATGGTGGTGGGACCGAGAGCAGAGCCTCCCCGGATGATCTTAAGGCCTTAGATGGTTTGTAGAGGGAGATATATTCAGACAAGTAAACTGGGCTGGAACTGTTTAGGGCTTTATAGGTTAATACCAGCATTTTGAATCGAGCCTGGAAGCTAATGGGCAGCCAGTGGAGCTGGCATAGCAAGGGAGTTGTCAGCTCTCTGTACTCCGCTCCTGTGAGCAACATGGCTGCTGAACATTGGACTAGTTGAAGCTTTTGAGCAGTCTTCAGAGGCAACCCCATGTAGAGTGCATTGCAGTAGTCTATTTGGGATATAACCAGAGCATGGACCACCATGGCCAAGTCAGACCTCCCAAGATATGGGTGCAGCTGGTGCACAAGTTTTAACTGTGCAAAAGCTCCCCTGGCCACCGCCGAGACCTGGGGTTCCAGGCTCAGTGATGAGTCCAGGATCACTTCCAAGCTGTGAACCTGTGCCTTCAGGGGGAGTGTGACCCCATCAAGCACAGGCTGTAACCCTATGCCCTGTTCGGCCTTACGACTGACCAGGAGGAAGATGAATGACATAGTAGGAAAACATGGGAGGCTTATAAATATAGCATGACATAATCTGGCACCCTCTAAATGTATGTGAATTAAGCGGGACACGTGTATAATAAAAGCTTCAATGAGAAGCATCCTGCATCTGGAAGCCACCAGATTCCTTAAAAGATCCTACCAGGACATTGCCTGGCTTTGCTTTCAGAGAAGAAATGCTCTGTTTATATGTGGAGTGGGTGTCACATTGCAGTTCAGTGCCTACTGGGTCATTGGGTTGCAAACTACTCTCTTGCCATTCTTACTCTCCAGACAATAACATCTCAAGTGAATTCTTCTGCTATTAGGCCACACAGCTCCTTGGCTTCTTGGCAGTGGTAAATATAAGAGTGCTCAAGAGAAGGATAACAATGCATGGACACTGCATGAATTGCTGCTTTTCCATTCTGTTGTTGAAGTACCTTGTTATAGAACAAAATGACTCCCCAAAGACTAATCCGATTACAGCATGGGTGAGAACGCACTTCTGTGAGTTTCTTATATTTCATCAAGGCATTTGGTGTGAAATCATTTTTTAAATTTCACTTCAGAAAACCTGCCATTTTGCTGAAACGCAAATGACCACTAAACAAACTTTTAAGTTTGCATGGCCAGCACATACAAGGAGCTCACAACCTTCTTGGTATCAATGGAGACAATCAGATTATGCTTCTGGAATTGGGACTGGAAACCAACCATGAATATGAATGTATGCCTGCAGACATTCACAATCCCTACCGTTCAAACATTTTAACACCAAGAATAAAAAGTGTATTTCAAAGCTGTGCATGTCTATTAAGGAGTGAGGAGCAATGAAATGGCTTTCGGGTTTGTAAAGCACATCACACACTATTTAACAAGCAAGCTATCCAAATGCCCTATTCAAAGGTCATGGCATTTGTTAGCTCCAGAGGGCACTGGCTGAGGACCTTGGCCATAGGTGAAGATTGAGCATTCCTGCCCTAAGCAGTATTTTCATTTTGTCAGGACTAAAGTCGGGAATTAACATTAATTTATCAAGGATCAGGAATTTTTTCCAGAGGGTGGTACAATACAAGAAAAACAAAAGCTTTGTGGATTAAAGCTCACTGCTGGTTGGATTATTGATATGCTATTGATGCTGATATGGATAGCAGAGCCAGAAGGCTAGAGTTTCTGTTGTTAAGCTGCAACAGTAAGCCAGTTGCAGTTGGGTATTAATCTATGGTTTAAAAAAAATGAATATATGATAGCTAAATGGACAAACTTCAGCCTTGTTGATAAACATCTCCAGAGGTATTTTGCAGACAATTGTTGAGGATCTCATAAAGATTTGATTCAGAATGGTAATTATGACTTTCCAAATATTAGCCAAGTTACAAAGTATGGAACATAGCCATAGAGCGATGGAAACTTTAGAATTCTTGCCCTGGAAACAACTGATCTCAAAGGAAATATTGGTAAGAGAGTAACTGGAATATGGTGCCCAATAAGTACATCACCTGTCTGATTTTCTCAGTAAATATATAAGAAACATTGGTCCAAAGAGACATCAAGGGAAGAAACAATGGAGTCAAGAACAAATACATTAAGGCAAAGGAAAATGTGTTCTTAAGACCAAGAACCTGTCTAAATCTGGTGGAACCTAAAACTCCACTGGCATACTTTGATGGATAATAGAGATGCACCCAGCCTGGCAGTGATGGTGGTGGTGACACGCTGCCTCAGGGCACCAAGCACCTTATAAGCTGGTCTGTACTGCTTTCAAAAATGGTATTGTTTACCTTGATATGCAAACTTGTAAAAAGCACCAGACATCATAGAGTACTGGTTTGAGTGTTGGACCGAGACACTGGGAAACCAGGGTTTGAATCTCACTCAGCCATGGAAACCCACTGAGTGACTTCAGGCAAGTCACACTCTTAGCCTCAGAGAAAGGCAAAGGCAAACCCCTCAGAACAAACTTTGCCAAGAAAACTCCCAAGCCTTAGAGTTGTCATAAATGATTTGAAGGCACACAGCAACATCAACCTGTCACCTTATAAAGATTCCAGCCTCCTTTGATATGACACAAGTTTAATCCATTCACTTTATTATGGTATTACAAATATTACAAATATGACCACCATAAGTAAATGTAACTCTTTGCATTACTGGGTAAAAAGAAATTTTGCAAGTAAATCTGAAAATTGTTCAGAGAAGTCAATGCTATAAGATAGGATTAAGCCAAAATTCTGCATACAAGCAAAGCCTATTTTTAATCTTGAAAATAAATATGAAGAGTGGGGAGAACTGTCAAACCAGTATTGATGTCAACTTTCAACAATAACTAATTTGCAACTTACTAAACTTCAGAGCATCTTATCCAGAATGTATATTCCTAAAGGCCCATTCAATTTCCTCAAGTTCAACACCACTGTTGCAAAAGCCATGCCTTGCTACAGTCTGCTTAGTTATTCCCACCACTCTTCTGAAACCCAAGGTTTTACATTTTATTTGAAACAGAACATTCCCATGTGTCTCAATACCTTTAACACATGTTGGATCAGAGAACTGTTCCAGAGACTTACTGGTACTCTTTTAACTTCTGATGCTCTCAAATTTCACTTTGAATTTATTTCTGGCCTTGTAGCAGAACCGCATTCATGAATAACAAACAGAAGTAGCTGCCTCATTTCTTTCTTCCTCTAATGCGGTCTGTTTGAAGTTTAAAATTAGCACTCAATAGCCCAAATTGCTTGCCACTTCAACTTGTTAGTGTATCAGTAGTTATGTCTTGCCAGTTCCAAGATTGACAATTTGCATGTGAGATGAAGGATTTTTTAAAAATTCCAAGGTAAAGGAGATACAGCTTTAGTATTTGCATTCAGATTTATTGAGTGGTGGGCACAGCAACAGGCCACTTGATTTCCCCATAATGCCCTGGACCAAGGCTGCAGTGAAGATTATGGAGGAAAAAAGCAGGCTAAGAAGATTATGTGAGGAAAATGCACAATTAAATGTTGGAATAACTTCTTGTTATGGAAATTCAATCTCTTTTATTTAAAAAATCACTGCCCGTCCCATTCTATCAAAACTTATTTTCTATTTATGGGGTTGGAAACCCTCAATTCTACAAGCTGGGTTTTTGGTTGCTGGAATACTATTGCTTATGAAATGAAAACAGCTGTGTTTTAGTTTTATCCATTTTTTTTAAAAAAATACCAGAATAATTTATTTGAATACTGGGTTGTTGTGGGTTTTTCAGGCTGTATGGCCATGATCCTGAAGCTTTCTCTTCTGACGTTTCGCCTGCATCTGTGACAGGCATCCTAAGAGGTTGTGAGGTCTGTTGGAAACTAGGAAAATTGTTTTTATATATCTGTGGAAGGTCCAGGGTAGAAGAAAGAACTCTTGTCTGTTGGAGCTATGTGTGAATGTTTCAATTGGCCACGATTGCACATTGAAAAATTCACACATACCTCCAACAGACAAGAGTTCTTTCCCCCACCCTGGACCTTCCACAGATATATAAACCCAATTTTCATAGTTACCAACAAACCTCTCAACCTCTGAGATTGCCTGCCACAGATGCAGGCAAAACATCAGGAGAGAATGCTGTTGGACCTCTCTTCCAGGAAGGGTCTTTGATCCACACAAAATGTAAGAAGAGGAGCCTAAGGGAAAAATACAATTCTTGGACTGGTTCTTTAAATTGACACTGGAAGACAAATTCCCATTCAGTCACAGAAACACTTAGGGTTACCTAGGACAAGTTACACACTCAGCCTTAGAGGAAAGCAAAGATAAATTCAACAAATCTTGTTAAGAAAACCTTAGCAGCATCCGGCTGATACCGAATGAGAAACTCCCTCTTGGGCACATAGAAGGCTCTGAACAGACTGCGCTCTGACACTACGAGGTACACAGCCAATCTTCATAAATGGGACTACAAAATGGAGTCTACAACACACAAGTGTGGAGAACAGCAAACCACAGACCACTTACTACAATGCAACCTGAGCCCAGCTACATGAACACAGAGGACCTTCTTACACCGACACCAGAGGCACTCCAAATGGTCCGCTTCTGGTCAAAGAAAATCTAGTATAATGCCAAGTTTTTAACTTTGTGTTTTTAAATACATTACAACTGTATCCTCAATTTGTTTCTGACATGATAAATAACTAAATATAGCTGCAAACTTGATAAATATGACCCCTAAACCTTCATCTAAGTCATTAATAAAAATATTGAACAGTACTGGGCCCAGGATTGAACCCTGTGACACTCCATTATAATTACACATGATAAATAAATAGCATTTAACTCATTATATATAACTTGACTTGAGATAAAATGATCATGCTTGGAATATTAAGAGCAGATTTTTTTCAGACTATAACAACAAATGTAACTTTAATTACATTTTTGTTACAAATAGACATACAACATCTTGAATTGTATGAAATACCTGAACTATAAGGACTCATTTTGGCTTTACTAGTTTGAGGAACAGTGGGATATGTGAATTAAAACAGAAGAAACCATCAACATTTTTTAAAAATCTTCTATTTCCACCAGCTTTCCATAGTATCAAGCAAAGATAATGAAAGACTTGAAAAAAATGAATCAATAATTTTAATCTGATACTGTACAAGGACTTAGATAAATATCTTCCTTTTACATCACTTTTTAAAAAATGTCTTTGGAACAATATATGAACACCCCTTCTTAAGGATGTTATTCATATTTCTGAAAGAAAATATTCCATTAATTCCTTTTATTTCATTTCTTTTTTCTAAGATGGAAAATGATTCAGAGAGGGGGAAAAATGTTTTCCTATTTTTTTTCTTGGCTTTTGCATTTCTCCTTCTAACCCCAGGAAGGGCAAGAGTGGACTGTAGCCTTGGACTGGGAGGGAGACATGCTTTTGGCAACAGGAGAGGGAACAATGCTCTTTTCTTTCAGTATTGACAGGACTCTGTAATTCACTTGCATTCACAAGTCTCTCAATCAGCAATTGCACCTCCAGGATGAAAGCAAATTGAGATGTGCTTCAGAGTTGGATCTAACACCCCCTCCTTCGCATGGTTTGCTGCTGAATGTTTGATGGCAACTGTATAGCAGTGGCAGTATTAGCATGTGCGCCAGGTTAGAGGAGCTCCCAAGGCCAGGAAGTCACCCATTGTTGTTTTTATGTAAACCCACCAACCTAAGTTAAAATGTATTCATGTATAGATTTCCCCTGTTACAAATAACCTGCTGATCTGTGAGGCAGCCTATATATCTAAAAACACTCGAAGACAGTGGCTGGCCAGGGGACTAAAACAAGCTATTCATGAATACTGCTAGATGCAGGTACAAAGACAGTACCCTAATGACAGTAGATCATCTGATCTTGGAAGCTAAGTGCAGTCAAACTTGGTTAGTTCTTAGATGGAAGACTACAAAGGAATACCACATAGTGTAGACTGTATTTCAGAGGAAGGAATTGGTTGAATTTCACCTGAGTATTCCTTATCTAAGAAAATTCGTGGGGTCGCCATAAGGCAACAGGCAACCTGAAAGTACATATGCACACAGTTACAAAGGGAGCTGTATCTAATCGTGTTACATCGTTTGAGAGCACTAGTACAGTGTGGGAAACCATCTTTGTTTTCATAATGGGAAATTATATTGGCAATCTTGACTTGTCTTATGTGATCAAGGATCAGGCTATTTGTCTCCACTTAAGCTTCAACCGCTGCTGTGCAAACCAATTACAGCTCTTGCTTATCTCTTCCTCTTTGCAGGACACCAACTCCATTTGGTGGGCCATTACTGAATGATGTCTTCCCAGGGTTTGAGATGGGCGAAGATCCCACAGACACCATGAACAGCCTGCAGCTCATTTCCAACAGGCCCACTTTTAACAGAACACCTCGAGGCTGGATACAGGCTATGCCAGAATCAGAGGATTTGTAACCTGATATAATACTGTTGCCTCTCCCTTTTCAAAATTCACACCCCAGTTTACTAATATGTGACTGCCAGAAAGGAGCCTCTTTAGTACAGATAGTCTACATACATGATTCATAGCTTTTCCTTGCTGCTTGTCCATTGCACGTACTGCACCTGACTCCCTGCTAGGGCCATTACTGTTCCTCATGTGTCACCCTTTCCTACTAGGATGCAATTTTAAAAAGCTCTTACGGTGAAATAAGACCAGCCCTCAAACCACAAATAGCCAAGAAGCCAGGTTGAGCCAAGTGAAAAGAACAGTATGTCTAGAGAAGTGATTTGAGAAGGGAGTGCATGTTCAAAAGAACCATTATTTTATCTACAAACACGGAAATATTAGGCTACATTTGGACATCTAGTTTGTGCCAAATACTTGCCAAGAATTTTCAGAGATAAATCAAATTAAGGTACACTGAAAAACTCGATTTACTTTATTATTTAGGATATATTTCTTCCAAGATTTTAAACCTCTCTTCTGCCTTCTCTTGGCATGGAATCCAAAGAGTTAACCCTATAGAACTACTTTTTGGAGGGAGAGGGAGGCCTAGCATCAAAGGTTCAAACCAACAGTGGACTTGTGTGGCCTGTGACCCCTCTCAACATGTTGGGTCCTTTTTCTGGAAAAAAGGAGGAAAGATCGTCACACCTGAAAGATGGCAGGAATTCACTTTTTAAATAGACATGGGGAAGGAAGCTGTTTTACTTAACCTTAAACAAAATTCGGTACTGTTCCATTACTGGGTGGCAGCCAAAAGGGACAGAGGATATAGAACATTTTACAGGGGGGGGGAGGGGGAGTAAGAGAAACACCCCCATTTTTTGCTGGTTATTCCCTCCCACCAACTTCCCATGCCATAAACAAGGGCCCTTTCCATGACTGCAACATGGGTGGTGTGAATAACAGGAAAGCAGGTGGAAATAGTTTTACTTCTTCAACCCCCCCCCCCCTCTGTAAAATGAACTATCCATCTGTCTAGCACCCCTTTTGATCTACCTAAAATTCAAAGACAAGAGGACTGCAGATGCTTCTAGTTTGGTTTTGTTCCATTATGGGGGCATTTTGGGCAATATGTCTGGCCTCAGGAAGGCAACAAATGCCCACCCTGCTGCAGTTCACCAGCCCTGCCCATGTTTTGATATTGAATCTCAATAACCTATCACAATGGTGCTAAATGAACTGATAAAACAGTTCCAAAGGGGCCAAGCCAATTATCATTCATATTTCCAATCACTCTTGGGGAAAGCAACACACAAACATTCTCTTACTCACTTTTGGCAATAGGAAATATCACTGGATGCCATTATAAAAATACTGGAATTTTCTTGAAATCATAGCTTTAGGTTTATAAATGATCAGTGGGCAGAGCAGCAAGGATTTCAGGGGGAATAATGTTCATTTTCTCAAATACTGGAAATAAAGTGAAATAAATGGATAGTCTTATGACTGGTAAGCTTCTCTGTAGGCCCACAACTGGCAAGAGTGGACCACTTGTCAGACCAGATTGTCCAAAAGTGTCATATGATATGTAGATAATATATGGAGCAGAATGACAAAGACAGAGAAATGGAATGAACTTCAGGATCAATTCTGAGGCTGAGTAACCATGTTAAAGTCTTAAGGTGCCCATGGCTCTGTTGTTTTTGCTGCATAAGTTTTAAGATGCCACAATACTTTGTTGTCAATGAGAGGAGGGCTTTCTTAAATATCTATGTCCATTAACTGATTGTAATTTATTCATTTTGTGCTCCCACCCCCACCCCTCAATCAGCAGAATTAGTTTGTGCAATTTTATGGATATTTAATTTTTTAATTTATTGATATTTATGTGGTTGTTAAACTACAGCATTTTGCTCATTTAGATCTTTTATTATTGAGAAGCTACAATATTTATAAAATAATGTAACTTTAAACACAAAATGTATCGACTCCTTAAAGGGAATTTGAAAATCAATTCTTACCACCTAATAGCTACTTGAAACACTTAAGAGTAGACTTTCCATTCCACCTCATATACAAACAGTTAAATAGGTAGGAATTTCAATCTATTATTTGTTACAAAATCCTGATGAGTGTACAACTATTCACTTCCAGATCTTTGAAAGTGTACGGTAACTGGGAAAGGGGAAATAAAAGGAATTATATTTTAAAAAGTATCATGCTTGGTTATTTGTTGAAGAGATTTTTTTTCTTGCAAAAGAAAATGCAGAAAGAAACATGTGAAGTGTAAATTTAAACTCTGTAAAATCAGCTTGACTCAACTGAAAACCTAACTATTGCTGTGACTAAGCTTTTAACTAAGACTGACGACACAGTAATATCTTAGCCTTAAGATGTTTCACGAGATTGTTTTTGTTGCAAAAGTGTAAACCAGCTATGGCAAGATTATGCATAAAGTTTAGGTGCCCTCCCTCCTTGCAGAGTATAAACAGGAATTCGATATTTTAGGGCCATTTCTAGCTATTTGATTTGTTCTTTTATGCACTTTCTAGCATACTGTGCTAAGTTAGGGTATGAGATGCCTTAAATGTGAGCCAACAAAGCGGCATAAAACCCATCTTACAGCAGCTTAAGATGAGGTGCAAAATTTCACTGTTGCGATCTAAGTTTTTGTTTAGTCACAGCTATCAGAGAAGTTAACCTTTTATGCACAGTCTTCTGCAATTTAAGAAAGACTTATTTCTAATGTCACTTTAAGAACTTCTGAGTGCTTTTAAATTGCTCAGTAAGGATTTGGGTACGTCAGATAAAGCGTGGCACAGCGGGTTAAACCACTGAGCTGCTGAACTTGCTGACCAAAAGGTTGATGGTTTGAATCCAGGGAGCAGGGTGAGCTCCCACTGTTAGGCCAAGCTTCTGCCAACTTAGCAGTTCGAAAACATGCAAATGTGAGTAGATCAATAGGTATCACTTTTGCAGGAAGGTAATGGCGCTCTATGCCAGCCACATCACCTTGGAGGTGTCTATGGACAATGCTGGCTCTTCGGCTTCGAAATGGAGGTGAGCACCACCCCCCAGAGTCGGACACAACCAGACTTAATGTCAGGGGAAACTTTACTTTACTTCTAATAAGTTTCATCCCATTAGCATCTGGACACGTGTTTATCATTTACCACTGCATTCGATCATTTTAGGAAATAATGCAAAAGTTCAAATTCTTTTTATGGACTTCAAAAAGTTATTTTGGAACACTATTCCTAGAACCCCCTAAGTCTACACAGCCAGTTGAAAACTGGGCAGCTGTCATTGAAATGAAACCTTTCCAAGCTCTGTTCATTTTCTGTTATGTGCCATTGGAAGCCAGGTGCAGATAACAATGAGAAACGTCAGTCAAGTACAATGTTTTCTCTTTTAAAAGACAAGAAGTACTAAGTAAGACTTCAGAATAGGTAAAAAATATGATTCTCTTTACTAGGACACCTCATAGACTTGATGCAGAAAACAGATGGTACAGGGCAAATACTGAGAACACATATTTAGAACAGCCACTGGCAATCAAATGTTGAGTTCAGGAAATGAGTCAGACTATTTTTAGTAGCAAATGGACACCACTCCAAAGTCACCAACCCCATAAACAGAGTATGGACAAGCTTGCATTGCTGCTGTCACCTCAATGTTTTGGGAGCATTTATCACAGACAAGATCATGAATGATAAGAAATAGCTTTAACAAAAAAATGGCACACTATCTGTACATCCTTCCTACAAGCCTGTTCTGCTCCAGCTTAAGGGAATAAGGGACTTGACTCTACTTTCAACAGCAATATAATAATTTGACATTCAGATGAGCAGTGAAGGTGCTTCCAAGCCATTCTGAACATGGCTGGCTAGCTTCTATTGTGCCACTGACTGGGGATTACTAAACTGGGTTAGTACTCCCCGCCCCCAAGAGTACTTTGGGGGGAAAGTACCCCAAATTGATTACACTGATGGGATTTACTATTCTCAATAAAATTCTTCTAGCTTACTTCTCTGCTGTTTTTTCTAAGCAGAGACCACCACTTCCTTATCAAGAATGTAGGTATTTTGGTTATAGAAGTGATAAGATTTTCTAGTTGTGTATCACAGTAGGACTAAGCCTGTCCTGGTTGCACAGGAGGATTTGGCTTCCCACTGATTACAGCTGAATATGGTATACGACCAAGAAAGGTTTCCATTAAAAAAAGGTAAAGGGCAGGATTGAGAAAGAGAAAAAATAAACAGTACAAATGAGCGGGTGGCGTTAGGGACTGTTGTGCTTCCCGGCGTGGGCCCCCATCCTTTGTGGGTCTTGAGAAGGATAGTGGATGGGACCCGGAGCTCGCATGAAAGGAGGCGGGGGGCCCATGGCATGGAACATGTGGGGCCCAAAACCTGAGGAAGAAAGAGAGAAGGCTTTACATAAGACTAACATGGTGTTGACACCTGACATGCAACCTTTTGCAATGTTTCATTTTCTTTAACTTAGATGATTTTAATTAATTTTTAGTTCATAATATTTTATCTGCAATTATTATGAGCAAGGGATGGGAACTCTACAGCTTTCCAGACACTGCCTGGACTGCAAGTTCCAATAGTAACAATCAGCACAGCAAAGTAATGAGGGATGACAGATGTTGCAGTCCAACATCTGGAAAGCTGCAGTTGCCATCCTGATGTACCATGCTTTTGCATTGCTTTAAGTAAAGTTTGGGCAACATAGGGTCTCAGGAAGTCTTCACCTTGATCTAAAGCATACACCGGTCTGATTTCTGAAATTATCAGAAATTCTAAGTGAAAACAAACCATATGATCAGGAAGACAAGGAATTGAGAAAGAAAACAAAGAGAATGGGTAACAGAGAAATAGGGTTTTTTGTGTCAGGAGTGACTTGAGAAACTTCAAGTCGCTTCTGGTGGGAGAGAATTGGCCGTCTGCAAGGAGGCTGGAACTGACAGAGGGAGCTCATCCATGCCCACCCCGGATTCGAACCTCCAACCTGTCAGTCTTCAGTCCTGCTGGCACAAGGGTTTAACCCATTTTGCCACTGGGGGCTCCTAGAGAAATAGTGGGAAAGGGAGAATGGAGAGCCTCCTATGGGGCTTGGCCTGATTTACCCCCGGCCTGCAGTCTCCCCACCCACCACAGAAACTACCCCCAAAAGACTGAGGACCTCAACAACATCAGGCTGCCTATCTGTGATTTAAATATACAAAAATTTCAGAATTTCAGATTCTAAATACTTATACAAACAAAACAGGGAGGAAGATGGAAATCCTATTGCACTTCAGGGATTAAATCCACTGAATTCAAGTCTAATAATCACACATAGAACTGGAATGTACATTTCTCAGTTAAGGACAGTCCAAGATTTCCCTTTCTCCAGGGATATTCTCCCAAGTCCCTCTCCTGCAAATAAATCTAAAGTTATGGTTTTGATAAAACCCAGCTACCTGGAGGTGGTGGAGGGGCGATGCCAGGTGGGGGCGGCAAGGCAATGTTGACCACAGCTGGAGGGCCACTGGGAGGTAGGTTGAAGTAGTTTGCTGAAGTGGCCTCCTCTTCTGCTGCAGGGGGAGGAGGAAGAGCTGCAGGACACAAAACCAACAGTGTAAACATCTTTTTCACCAATGAAGGTAGAGAAAAAAAGAATATAAGCCTACTGCAGCATCGCTCTTACCTCCAGGTAGTCCAGGGACCGGCTCCAATTTAATACCAGAATCTGTGATCCCTTCCCTTTCTTTCTCTTTCCCTCTGGCTGCTTGAGATCTTTAAAAAATGAAAACAAATCGCTGGAATTATGATCACATAGTAAATTAAAGAAAACTTTGAGCTCAAGGTTTAAAATGTAGGGTAATCCAGAGTTGACAAAAAAGGCCTTGTGGGGAAAGGAAAAGTACTTCCAATTTAAGTATAGTTTTTCTAAAAACACTTGATACCATACCACTCACTCCTGATATCATCCAATCCCTCCTCCTTCCCCCCCTCACCCCCAAATCACAGACAAACATACAAACCTCTTAGTATATTTGTAGGTCTAAGCCATGGGTCCTACCCAGAACTCTCAGCTAAGAGGGGAAGAAACTGAAGGAGATTCTCTGGAGAAAAATGGAATGTTTCTTTTACTTCTTGTCCTGACCACTCACCTGCCCCATTTCACATTCAGTCTGCGTCCATTGACAATGAGCTTATTGAAGGACTTCTCTGCTGCAACTTCTGCAGCTTGCCGGGTGGCAAACTGGATGAATGCACACTGCTGCCTCTGTACTACAGTTATCGTCCGAATCTCACCAAACTGATAGAAATGATTCCTGAGGAGCAAACATATTCTGATGCTTTACACTTGTTTCATACACTGCATGGTATACAAGAGAAAAAAGATGAGACGGACATACATACAGGAGTGCAGTAAATATATTCTAACATACCTCCTGAGTTCACAGAATCACACAGTTGGATGGGACAAGGACCACTTAGTCCAATGCACTGCCATGCAGCAACATACAAGTAAAGCACTCCTGAGATGGGCCCATCCAACCACTGAGGACCTCCAAAGGAGTGTCCACCACCCTCTGAGACAATCAATTAGTACCGACTGTGAATAAGTTATTTCTAATGTTTAGGAAGAATTTCTTTTCAAGTAATTTGACTCAATTAATTCATTTTGCAGTCTCTAGAGCAGCACAAGAGAAGGTTACTTCTTGATTACACTAACTTATTGCTAAGGGATAGGCCAATTTGCTGCTCCACAAACAGCTCAAGGACACAGTGTCTCTTATGTACAAACATGCAGAAGACTATGACAAAACAATTAATTAAATGATATTGGTCTTCCCTTTGCAAATTTATTTATTTATTTATTTATTTATTTATTTATTTATTTACTCCATTTGTATACCGCATTTATCAGCCTGCGACGGCGACTCAATGCGGTTTACAGTAAAAAGGGGAACACTGACAATATATAAGACGCACATACACAAACAACACACAAAGTCACCAACGCCTCAGTTAGAATCAGATCCCGTTCTCATAGTCCTTTTTCGTTCCTTGTTCAATGCCGTCTTACTGAGTTAGTTGTCATTGCATAGTTGTCCAAACGCCTGCTCATAGAGCCACGTCTTAACCCTCCTCCGAAACACCAGCAACGAAGGGGCCTGCCTGATGTCCACTGGTAGGGCATTCCATAGCCGAGGGGCCACCACCGAGAAGGCCCTGTCTCTCGTCCCCGCCAACCGCGCTTGTGACGCTGGCGGGACCGAGAGCAGGGCCTCCCCGGACGATCTTAAATCCTCGCCGGTTCATAGGTGGAGATGCGTTCGGAGAGGTAGGTGGGGCCGGAACCGTGTAGGGCTTTATAGGCTAAAGCCAGCACCTTGAATTGTGCTCGGTAGCGAATTGGCAGCCAGTGGAGCTGGCTCAACAGGGGGGTGGTGTGCTCCCTGAGTGCCGCTCCCGTTAGCAACCTGGCTGCCGAGCGCTGGACCATCTGAAGCTTCCGGGCAGTCTTCAAGGGCAACCCCACGTAGAGCGCGTTGCAGTAATCTATGCGGGATGTGACAAGAGCGTGGACTACCGTGGCCAAGTCCGACTTCCCAAGATACGGGCGCAGCTGGCGCACGAGCCGAAGCTGTGCAAATGCTCCTCTGGAAACCGCTGAAACTTGGGGTTCCAAGCTTAGCGAAGAATCCAGAGTCACACCCAAGCTGCGAACCTGCGCCTTCAGGGGGAGTGCGACCCCGTCCAGCACAGGCTGTAACCCTATACCCTGTTCGGCCTTCCGACTGACCAGGAGTACCTCTGTCTTGTCTGGATTGAGTTTCAATTTGTTCACCCTCATCCAGTCCGACACAGCGGCCAAGCACCGGTTCAGGACCTGGACAGCCTCCTTAGTAGTAGGTGGAAAGGAGTGACAGAGTTGGACGTCATCTGCGTACAGATAACACCGCACCCCGAAACTCCGGATGATCTCTCACGGCTTCATGTAGATGTTAAATAACATGGGGGACAATATTGAACCCTGCGGGACCCCACAAGTCAATGGTTGTGAGGGCGAGCAGTTGTCCCCCAGCAACACCATCTGGGTGCGACCCTCTAGGAAGGACCTGAGCCACTGTAAAACAGTGCCCCCCAGGCCCATTCCCACGAGGCGACCCAGAAGGATACCGTGGTCGACGGTATCGAAAGCCGCTGAGAGGTCCAGCAGAACTAACAGGGACACACTCCCCCTGTCAAGCTCACGCCGGAGATCATCCACTAAGGCGACCAAGGCTGTCTCGGTACCATGTCCCAGCCTAAAGCCAGACTGTGCCGGATCCAGATAATCAGTGTCTACCAAGAATGCTTGGAGTTGTGAGGCCACCACACGTTCCAGGACTTTGCCCAAAAAGGGGAGATTGGAAACAGGCCGATAGTTGACGAATTGAGTGGGGTCCAGTGATGGTTCTTCAACAGCGGTTTTATTACAGCTTGCTTTAAGCTGGCTGGAATTTTGCCTTCCCGAAGGGAGGCATTAACCACCACCTTCACCCACTCGGCCAATCCCCCTCTGGCCTCCTTCAGAAGCCAAGATGGGCAGGGGTCTAGGATGCATGTGGTAGCTCTCATTCCTCCAAGCACCTTGTCCACATCCTCAGGTTTCACCAATTGAAACGAATCCATCAAAATCGGACAGACAGGTGTTCTCGTCACATCCTCAGAGACCGCCGTTAACATGGTATCCAGGCCCGAACGGATCAAAGCGACTTTGTCCGCAAAAAACCGTGCAAACGCTTCACAGCGGGCTGTCGAGTTGTCAGGGCTCCCATCCAGAGTGGTGGGCTTTAATAGGCCTCTGACAACTCGAAACAGCTCAGCCGGGCGGTTCTTTGCGGACGCAATATTGGCCGCAAAGAAAGATTTCTTTGCCGACTTTATTGCCACGGCATATGCCCTTAACAGGGCAACAAACTGTGCTCGGTTTGACTTGCTCGGATCCGAACGCCACACACGCTCTAGTCTCCTCTTTTTTCGCTTCATTGCTGCCAGCTCCTCGTTGAACCAAGGAGCTGGTTTAGCTCGGCTACTTGAGAGGGGACGTTCCGGAGCGATCGTGTCTATTGCCCTGGCCATCTCCCCATTCCAGAGAGTCACCAGGGCATCGACAGGATCACCAACCGAGGCAGCGGGAAATTCCCCAAGAGCCGTCAGGAATCCATTCGGATCCATAAGCCTCCTGGGGCGGACCAACTTAATGGGTCCCCCACCTCTGCAGAGGTTAGGAGGTGCAGTGAGTCTAAAGCTGACCAGATGGTGGTCGGTCCATGGCAACGGAGAGATGGACAACTCCTCGACCCCGCCACCTTGCTCCCATCCTTGACAGAAGACCAAATCCAATGTGTGCCCAGCACTGTGGGTGGGGCCAGTTACTTGTTGGGACAGCCCCATGGTTGCCATGGAAGACATGAAGTCCTGAGCCGCTCCCACTAAGGCAGTCTCGGCGTGTATATTGAAGTCCCCCAGCACAAGAAGCCGTTGGGACTCCAATGACAGGCTCGAGACTACCCCTGCTAGCTCAGGTAGGGAGACTGTAGTGCAGCGAGGTGGGCGGTACACTAACAGAATCCCTATTCTGTCCTGGTCACCCACCCTCAGGTGGACACATTCAAAATTAGTCGACTGTAGGATGGGGCCTCTGGTCAGAGGGATTGAATTTTTGTAGACCACCGCAACCCCGCCTCCCCGCCCTCCGGGTCTCGGCTGGTGCTGTACGGAGAAACCTGGAGGGCAAAGCTGGGTTAAATTCACTCCTCCAGCTTCGTCCAGCCAGGTCTCCGTAATGCACGCCAGATCTGCCCGTTCATCCAGGATTAAATCCTGGATGTAAGATGTCTTACCGTTAACAGATCTGGCGTTCAGCAGCACCATCTTCAGCCCGGAGGGACCGCCAGCCTGAGTACACCCATCTACCCAAATAAGAAAAAAAGCCCTAAATGAAGACCTTTACACAGGAATTGTGTACAGTGGTCTTTTCAATATGTCCTGGTAGCATTCCAAAGATATCTTAATGGAGATATACTCAAAATTTATTAATTTATTTACTCTATTTGAGTCCGAAGGGGACTCAAGGCAGATTGAAACACATCTAACACTACCAAGGAGGATTTGAGGAAGAACTAAAAGTAAAGACATACCTAAGATCTGTCTCAGTGATAGTATCACCTAAGCCGCCGACATATAATGTTGTGATGGTCTTGTCATCAGGTGGGTCCAGACGTGGCATTGTGGAAGCTCGTTTGAGAAGCTTGTCAGCTACAGGGTCATTAATACCATAGTAACGGTCTTTAATGTTCTGATCAGCAAGAGGATCATCTGGATCTGTAGGTTTCTCATGCCTAAGGGTTCAAAAACAAGATTTTATAATATACATAGTTAATGAGTATTCCGACCAACAAATCTTATCTTATAAACTTAAGAGAATAAGTAATGATAACTCTCACTGGTAACATACAATCTCAAACTATGAAGCTGTATCTTGGACATCAACTGAAAGCTTTTGGAATAAAAATGTGCCACTGGTGCTACCATGCCAGCCCTTCTCAGTCTATGTATTCGGTAAATGTGTGCCCAGTATTTATTTATTTATTTATGTAGAGTATTTGTATCCCATACTTCTCAACCCCCAAAGGGGGACTCAGGGCGGCTTACAATCGGAAGTCATTAGATGCCAACAAAGAAACAGTTAGAGCACAACAATTAACATAAACAGGTCAACAACAATAAAAAATACATTAAAAAGCATTAAAATACATTAAAAATATTGGCCCTTAAAATATTAACACAACCAAGTCTGAGTTCGTAAATCCAAATCATAGCCCATAGAGGGTATACTGTTATAGCCTCAATGTTATTTTCTGCCTCTTTTGATGCATGTGGATTATTTTCACAGAAGTTAAGCGAACACCACTTATTTTTTTGAGACACTATATTTCAAAAGAGTCATCAGATTAACTTTCTCAATATAGATGTACCTGTAGGGACATTCCTCTCCTCTTTTGCATTCTCCTTTCACCCAGAATGAGCAGATATGTGGGCGGTTGCGTTTGTAGTAAGGGGTAGTTCGAGCCAGCTTGAGCAACATATCACTGGTAGATGTTGCTTTTCCTAAGGCGCCAACAGGTCGGGTGCCATCAGAATTCATGATCTGGCAAAGCAGAGAAAAGGACACACGTAAGATTAAGCAGAAGACTCATCTCTAAATTATCTAGTTAATACTATACATCCAAGAAATGATTATGGAACCCGAATAGCTGGAAAATATTGCACTGCATGCAACAAACACGTACAAATGTATATCGATTTCAATAAATAAATAAATAAAAATATTATGTTAAACAAGTGACATATATACCTCTCTTTCCATATTCTGGGTGTAATACTCTTTATTAACATCTGATTTGGGCATATCATCTTTAAGTGAGAGTCCAGCATCTCGAACTTGAATAGGTAAACCTAATGTTTAATGGAAAAAACAAAAACATTAAAATAAATTAATATAAACATAAATTAATATAAAGACAAAATAATTAAACAGCTATTAACATAAATATGGCTAACCATGTTTGTGTAAAAGAACAGAAAATGATTGAGCCCAATTATCAACTGTATAAACTTCATTTTTCCTGGCAATGAATGCAAAAATTACATATAAAATCTGGGTTGCAATTCCCATTGGTTTAGTTATAATAGGCACTGTTGAACAAAATATGACAATGACACAAATGGGAATTGGTGCAACATTAAAAATACATATTATTCAGTTATTAGTTGCTTCTCCTATCAGCTCATTTTGAATCTCCCCTTCTTGGGCAAGGTTCTAGAGCAAGTGGTTGCTAGTCAACTCCAGGGATTCTTGGAGTTTGACCCATCACAGTCTGCGCCCGTACCTCAAAAAGCCAGATCTGGCCACAGTGGCCCATGCCCTAGTTACATCTCGATGGATTACTGCAATGCACCGCAGTGCATTGCAGTAATACAATTAGTGCATTGCAGTAATACAATTAGTACAAAGATCAGCGGCCAGGCTATTGACTGGAGCAAATTATAGGCCACATACCACCCCCTCTATTAAAACATCTTCATTGACTGTCTATGTGTTTCTGGGCCCAATTCAAAGTGCAGGTTATCTATATATATAAATCTGAAAGTGGCGTCGAACAGGACAGCAAAACTCAAAACCCCCCCAACGAAAATTAACCAAAATTCCCATGCACTTACCACAACCCACAAGGTACAAACAAATCGAATCAAAGTAAAAAACAACACAACAACACACTAACAAAACGACAAAACAACTGAGCATGCGCAATGGCACCCAGCCGCAACTTCCCTGGCGCGCGCATATGGCCTGCTGGCCAACGCTCCCTCCACGCAAGCCATGCCCCCAACCTCCCGCCGCACTGCTTCCCGCCCTGTCAAAACCATCCCTCTTCCCTCTCCTTCATCTAACCCAGCCCAGCCCTCCGGTAAGACACACGCTTCCTTCTTCCCCCACCCCTTCCCTCCCTCACTCAATCCTCCTCCTCCCACCCCCCTCCGGTAAGACACGCCCCCTTCCTTCTTCCCCCACCCCTTCCCTCCCTCACTCAATCCTCCTCCTCCCACCCCCCTCCGGTAAGACACGCCCCCTTCCTTCTTCCCTCACCCCTTCCCTCCCTCACTCAATCCTCCTCCTCCCACCCCCCTCCTGGTAAGACACACCCCCTTCCTTCTTCCCCCACCCCTTCCCTCCCTCACTCAATCCTCCTCCTCCCACCCCCCTCCGGTAAGACACATCCCCTTCCTTCTTCCCCCACCCCTTCCCTCCCTCACTCAATCCTCCTCCTCCCACCCCCTCCGGTAAGACACGGCCCCTTCTTCCCCCACCCCTTCCCTCCCTCACTCACTCCTCCTCCTCCCCCCCCCTCCGGTAAGACACGCCCCCTTCCTTCGCCCCCACCCCTTCCCTCCCTCACTCAATCCTCCCTCCTCCCACCCCCCTCCTGTAAGACACACCCCCTTCCTTCTTCCCCCACCCCTTCCCTCCCTCACTCAATCCTCCTCCTCCCACCCCCCTCCGGTAAGACACGCCCCCTTCCTTCCCCACAGCGGGCCCAATAAAGGAAGAGGGAAAACATCAAAGGAAGGAAGGAAACAGAGACGGAAACATGGAAGCAAAGAGTGAAGGAAAGAGGTAGAGAAGGAAGAAAAGAGAGAAAGAGGAAATGAAGAGGGATGGAAAGAAATTGGTAGAGAAAGAAGGAAGGAGATAAGGAAAGAAAAGAAAGGAAAGAGGAGTGAAGGAAGAAGAGAATGAAAGAGAAAGAGGGGGGAAGGAAGGACAGAAAAAAGGAAGAATGGAAACAAAAACCAAAGGAAGTAAGGAAGGAAAGAGGCAGAGAAGGAAGAAACAGAAAGGAAAGAAGGAAAAGAAAAAAGGAAGAAGGAAAGAGGAAAGAGGAAGAGAAGGAAGGAAGGAGAGAAGGAAAGAAGAAAAGGGAATGAGGGAAAGAAGGAGAGAAAGAGGGAGGTAAGGTGGGCCACAGCAAGGCGTGGCAGGGAAAGGGGAGGTAGGACTCCCAAGACCCAACATAAAGCACGAGAAGGGTTTGGTAAGCAATGGGAAGGAAGAAAGGAAGGAAGGAGGGAAGGAAGGAAAGAAAGAGGTACCGAAGGAAGGAAGAAGAGAAAGTAGAAAGGAAAGAAAAATAAAAGGAAGGAAAGGCAGGAAAGAGGTAAAGAAGCAAGGAGAAAAGGAAATAAAATGAAAGAAGGAAGGAAACATGGAGGAAGAAAGGAGCAAGGAAGAAAAGGGAAGGGAAGAAGGAAGAAAGAAGGAGGAAAAAAGGAGGAAGAAAGAAAGAAAGAGAAAGGAAAGAAAGAAAGAAAAGAGAAGAAAGAAAGAAAGAGGTAGAGAGGAAGAAAGGAGAGAAAGGGGGAGAAGAAAGGAAAGAAAAAGGGGGAAGGAATAGGTAGGTACCTCTCTTTCATAATACTCCAGATATCTACCTCTACTTTGAAAAGATTTACTATAGGCCACAGCAACGCGTGGCAGGGTACAGCTAGTTACCTATAAAGCCCTACATGATTTGGATCCAGCCTATTTATGCAACTTATGAACCAGTTAGGGCCCTAAGATCTGCCAGGGAGTACCCCCACCCCCCCCGGCTCTGGAACGCCCTATCCAGGGAGATTACTCAGACCCCACGCTATCCAATTTCCAGAAGGAAATGAAAACCTGGCTATTCAAAAAGGCATTTGAAAATAGGTAAACCTGATGTCCTCCAATGGTTGGAGATATGAGATAAATCTAAAATTAGATCTTATTGTTCTTTTTCACCTGAACAGTGGCTGGGATTTTTAATGAATGATGTGTTATGTGATTTTAAAAAGCTGCTTTATTTTTATATTTTTTGCCTCCTTATTAACTGTTGATTTAATTTAAATTGGATAGTCGAAGGCTTTCATGGCCGGAATCACTGAGTTCTTGTGGGTCTTTTCGGGCTATATGGCCATGTTCTAGAGGCATTTCTCCTGACGTTTCGCCTGCATCTATGGCAAACATCCTCAGAGGTGAGGTCTTAAATTGGATACATTTATATGTATTGATGTTGAGATGGTTTTATAATTATATTGTCATGTGCCGCTCAGAGTCCCCTCGGGGAGATGGGGTGGGATACAAATAAAGTTATTATTATTATTATTATTATTATTATTATTATTATTATTATTTCCTCCCAACTTGATGATGATGACTTCGTTCTTCTGAAAAAATGATGAAGTTGTATTGTATGGAACAAAAATGTTGCCTTTACATATCTGTGCCTTTATGTACCATTACAAAGCGCAGGCTTTAAGATCTGTCAGGAAGGCCCTCCTCTTGGTCCTGTCTCTGTCTCAAGTATGTTTGGTGGGGATGACAGAGAGGGCCTTCTCGGTGGTGGCCTCCCAGCTCTGGAATGCCCTCTCCAGGGAACTTAGGCATGCCACCACACTACAGCACTTTCAGAATGAATTAAGAACTTGTTTTTTTCAGCAGGCCTTTAATAAGATTTAAGATAGTCGCCAGATAGATAACCAATTACTTTAGCACTTTATATCTGCATTCTGATGGGTATACAGCTGGGATGCTAAATCTTTTAATTGATCTTTTAATCAATGGCTATAGCCACATTTTACTGATTCTATTTAATAGAGGTTGCGTTTGTTAAATTTATATGTCTGGTTTATGTAAATGTGTTATGGTTTTTCTATGTTGATGTATCACATTTTTTTGTGTTCTATGGCACCATTGGGTGCTATTTTGTAAGCTGCCCTGAGTCCCTATGGGAGATGGTGGTGGTGTATAAAGTTTTATTATTATTATTATTATTAATGATGTAAGGCACACTGTAACATCCACTATTAAGGATTTTGCTATATCTGTGTGGTATTGTATGAAGGTGACTTCAGGCAAACTATGGAAACAGAACTAACTTGGACATTCAAGTAATCCCCACCACCACTACTCTTTACCCACATGTGAAAACCACCTTAAAACCATCCGACTTCATTTACTATTTCAGAAATACTCAGAAAATAGAAGGTGGTGGGAAAAGAAGAGAACATTATGGGTGGAATGATTCAATCAAAGAAATCACGATCCTGAGTTTGCAAGACCTGGGCACAATACAAATATCAGGATGTCATGAGTGCAATGCGTACATGCAGCTTCCTTCTTCTGACAGCATCTCTTCCCACTTCATGAAGTACAGTTCCAGAAGAAGAAAAACTCCTGTGTTCAAAGTACATCCCACACCGGATGCCAGCCAGAACATAAGGCATGGGCCAAGATAATAGACCACAACTAATCCAGCAATGGAGAGCAAACTAATCTTATACCCCCTGTGACACTGCCATTATTAAGTAGTGACCGCAATTACAACCTCTCTGGGAAATGGACCATTCAGCTCAGTTTCCTCAAATGGACAGATCCATGCAATCAGAGTAATATCACCCTGGTGCATACAGTAATTTCTTCCCTCCCAGCACTTACACAAACGCATATCTGCAGTAGAAACAACCCATATATAGAAAGAGTACATTCTCTGCATATACAGTTGCTGGGTAACCATGTGCTAATTTTAAACTTCCACTTTCTAACAGAATTACAATTACATACCATATTCCAGGTCAAGGAGGCAGGTCTGACAAACGTTCTTCAGCTTGCTGCATGTTTGACACACTTCTGTCTTCTTAAAGCGCATTCGCACACCAGGACACCAACGAAACACTGTGAACGGCCTGGCACAGATCTGAGACAAAGTTGGCATTAATATGTATCAACCTAATTAAAGCACAATTACAAAGCACGAAGTACACACACACACAATAAATCCTTGATTTCAGCTAACATCATTATATTCATTCAGAATGAAAAACAACATTCTGAGAAACTGTTGCAAGAAACATATTGAATCTCTTTCAAACGGTGATATGTACATTGTTTTACAATTATTGCACTGGGGAGATGAGTAAAATCAGGTTCAAGTAATTCATTGGATCATTAAACTAAAAAATAAAATTCAAGAAAAATACTTCCAAATTGAAGTTATGGCACTCTTGTTTATACTGTTATAGAGATTTTTTCTTCTTCTATTTATCAGTATTATTATGTATGTATTGCAGTGAATAAGTGAATGGAATTATATGGGTAGGATTAAATCGTTACCCTTAATTGTTGATATTCAATTCTAAGGAGCTGTGTTCCTTGTATTTTTAGATGTTACTACTGACAACTTTTAGAATTATGCTTCAAGTTATTTTTTTGAAATGACAAACATACCTTGCATTCCTTTCCATATTTCTCTTTGGTCTGGAACAAAGAAAAATGTGTGTTACAAAGGATAACCAACTAATAAAATTATATGTCTTTTAAAATGTAAATTACTCCACTAATTGCAGGAAAAAAGATTCCATCTATCAGTAAACACTAGGAAGAACTTCCTGACAGTAAGAGCTCTTGGAGCATGGTGGAGTCTCCTTCTCGGGAGGTTTCTACGCAGAGGCTGGATGGTAATCTGTTAGGGGTGCTTTGATTGTGAATTTCTGAACGGTACAATGGGGTTGGATTGGATAGCTCTTGGGTCTCTTCCAACTCCAGAATTCTATTATTCTATTATTTCTAAAAAATTACCACCACATGACTTCCATATGTTCAGACTGCCATAGGAACACAAGCAATTTACATGTACCTCTTATTTGCACTGAAGAAAAATAAGAAAGAATATGCAAAATCTCACATTATATTTTAAAAGGTCACAGTCTGTTCTCTTGAGCTCAAGTCCTTTCCATGGACCTGATGTACTGGCAGTGTGTGTGTGGGAGGAATAAAGTTTGATGGAAGACATAACTTTTTTGCCTTCATTAACATTTACAGACAAACTCCATTCACCAAAGAAAGTCCATGGAGCTCTACACCAGAGCATGTGGGAAAAATTCAAATTCACAGAAGGTCATTTTTAAGTGAAAGCATAAGAATACTAGTGAGGTACAGCACTATGCTTGCAGTACATGGACATTTTTACTGATTTCAACAGGAATTTTTTTCAACTTAAGCACACTTACGTTTGTAGAATAGTTTTTGAGGAGCAAATGTTCAACATATTGCAATGCTTAAGATGCTCATCTCACCATACTTTCTTTTATATAACTTCCTACCAAGAAACTAGAGCATCTGGCCTGTTATGTAGCTATGGAAGTAATACTTAAATCACATGTACAAACCACATTTCTTTAAATAAAAGATGTATTTTAGAGCAACAAAAAAGGACTCAGAAAAAGTCTGGAAGTCAGCTGGTACTTTTTTTATTGTTATTCTGTCATGCTTGTTCTAGTACCAAATCACCAGAAAACATACCATCCGAATATAGGGATTTTCTCCAAGACACGTCTGGCACAAAATAGGAAAGTCCTACATAAAGGAAAATAAATAGATGTCAGATCTGAAATAATGCCACATTTCACTAAATCCTTACAACCTTTACAGTCCAAAATGTGATGTCACACACACTCATTCTTATCGCACATATTTTGTTTCCTGTCCAATGGAAATGCGCTTCACAAATACCAACAATAATAGTAAAATGAATGACACTACATACAATGATGAAAGAAACATAAACTTGGCAAAGAAAAATCTCAAAATATGTGAAGAATAACTCGATGTTCCTTTAATCAAGAAATTGATCTGTCACTTATTTTAGATCAAGAGTGGGAGGCTGTCAGTTAGAGAGCTCCTGGGAGAAATTAAGAGTTATAGGAACAGAAACAATAAATGCATACCTGTTAGAATAAGGAACATATATATTAAAAAAGTAATACAGGTGAAATACGAGTTCACTCCTCCAGCCAAATACCCTGATGGTTAAGAGCCAAGGGGGAGAAACATATTCAGAGATAAAGGTAACATTAAAACTTACGCCAAGCTCTCAAATATAGGCTGGGCATCCTTTATCCAAAATTCAAAATCCTAAAAAAATCTAAGTGGTCCACATAGTTGACTGAGACCTTTCTTTTCTAATGGTTTAATGTAGATACACTTTTTATTTTAAAAAATTATAAATTTTAAATGAAATTACCTTCAGATTTAAACAAAACAGAAGTTAATGTTCTGTTTAGACTTGGGCCTCATTTCCAAGAAACATTATGTATGTTTATGCAAATACAGGTATTCCAAAATGCAAAGCACTCCTGTTCCAAGCATTACGGATAGCAGATACTTAACCCATACTACTACAGAAATAATACACCACATCTTCTAAATTTGACAAACAGCTGTATCATACTTCAACTGACACGTGCAAAGTTATCTATCAAACGTCCAACTTCATTAAGCCACATTTCCCTAAAATATACCATGAAGTGAAAACACATAGGAAGAACATCTCTCATCCAAAATTCCAAAATGCTCTGAAATCCAAAATTATCATAATGGGCAGTTGGGACAGTGACAGCATTTGCTTCCTGATGGTTCAATGTGCACAAACTTTTGTTTCATGTACAAAATTATTAAAAATATTGTATATAAAACTACACCCAGGCTCTGTATAAAGAATTTTGTATTTTGACAGGACCCATTTCCAAGGAATCTCATTATGTGTATCACCATCATAATCATCAGTGATCACTGGCATCTGAGTAGGATGGCCTTCCAAGTGTAGGGTCTTGGTGGTGGGTCCGTAGGTGACTGTGAAGCCGTATTCTTGACCTACATGTTCTTCCACAGTGAGGGCATCAGTTTCCAGATGGAAGGCAGTCCTGGCTTGATGTGCCTTCCTCTTGGCACGTTTCTCCCTTTCTCACTCCATTTCTGCCTCTTTGAATTCCACAGCACTGTTGGCAAGAGCTGGCCTCCAGTTAAGAGTGCTCAAGAGATTGATTATGTGTACGCAAGGACATCTATCCAAATTCCAAAACAGTTCAGGTCTCAAGCATTTTGGATAGGGGATACTCTAACTGTGGGTGTGTCTGCACTATAGAAGTAAAGCAGTGTGACACCGTTTTGCTGCCACAGCTCAATGCAATGAAATCATGAGACGTATAGTTGAGTGAGTTCTGTAGCCTTCTCTGCCAAAGAGTGCTTGTGCCTCAAGAAACTACAACTCCCAGCATTCCACAGCGTTCAGCCAGGGCAGTTAAAGTGGCGCCACACTGAATTCATTCCATAGTGCAGATCAACCATGGGCAAGCTTGGGCCCTCCCTCCAGGTGTTTTGGACTTCAACTCCCACCATTCCTAAGAGCCTCAGGCCCTTTCCTTTTCCCCCTCAGCCGCTTAAGCGGCTGAGGGGGAAAAGGAAGGGGCCTGAGGCTGTTAGGAATGGTGGGAGTTGAAGTCCAAAACACCTGGAGGGAGGGCCCAAGCTTGCCCATGGGTGGTGCAGACACAGCTTCCTGTCACACGTGTCCAACGAAGGAGGGCCGTTTTGAAAGAGGGCCGGTCCCACCCCCGGAGAGAGGCGCCTTTCCCGGGGCTCCTTCCCTCGGCCGAGCAGGGAAGAGCAGAAGGGCCGCCGAGAGGAGCCGAAGAGGGGGAGAAGAAGCCCTTCCGCCCGCCACGGCCTCCCCTTCCCTGAGGCTCACCGCATCCTCCCAGTTCTGCCGGTTGTACGTGTTGGAGCCCAGAGACGTCGCCATCTTGGGACTCTCACAAGCGGGGACCGGAAGCAGAGTCAACTCACGTTACCGGAAGTAGGCGCCCGGAAGCAGCTACGTTGTGGCCATAGAGCTTGTGGCTGAAGCATCCGGAGAGAGGCGGGCCTTGGTTGTGCTCGACAGTAAGGCAATACTAGGTGGTCGTTCCCAAACTCTAGTACTCTATCAGTTTTGGATTTCAGTTCCCAGAAGCCTCGGCTGCCTTGACCAATGAATGGGGATGGTGGGAACTGAAACACCTAGGGTGCATCTGGGCCAGGCATGGGCACACTTGGGCCCTCCCTCCAGGTGTTTTGGACTTCAACTCCCACAATTCCTAACAGCCTACAGATTCAATGAAGGAAACTGTAGGTCCGAGGCTGTAAGACCTGATAGGGAAACTCAGAGCTCTCTCGTTCATGGAGTCACCATATTTGAAGTAGCTTAATACAGGCTGGTGCTACTGCTGAAGAAGCTGTATCTAGCTTTCTCTTGGTGGCATTGCTACCCCCCCCCCCTCAGTTGCTGCTGAGAAAAATAAGGTTGGACACTGAAAGCCATCCTCTGCGTGGCTATCAACCCCCTCCCAATCAAGACAAAGCTTCATGAGAACCACCACTCCTTTTAATGTTTCCCCAGCAACAGCAAGCGTATCCCTCTGCGCAGCTAAAAAAATTAAAATCATGGTTCTGGGACCAGGTTTTCAGGCAGTAGAAGTAAATGTATGCGGCATTTTGGAAAGACAATGACTGGAACGGCAATTCGATAGACAAGACTGTTTTATTGTTTTAATGATTGTTTTATTACTCGTGGATGTATTTTTAAATTTAATTTATGTCTAATTGTAGTGTATAATTGTAGTTGTTTGTACTGGCATTGAATTTTTGCCATTACTTATGTGTAAACCGTTTTGAGTCCCCCTCGGGGTGAGAAAAGCGGTATACAAATACTGTAAATAAAAATAATAATCTAGGAAATCCCAAATAAATGCCCCCCACGAGGGTCCTCCCCAGGGGCAAACCGAGAATAGGCAACTTGGAAGTCCTTGAACAGACTCAGAAGTGGAGTGGCCAGATCAAAAGACAACCTGGCAAAATGGCACTACCTAGAGCAGGGGTCCTCAAACTAAGGCCCAGGGGCTGGATACGGCCCTCCAAGGTCATTTACCCGGCCCTCACTCAGGGTCAACCTAACTCTGAAACAACTTGAAAGCACACAACAACAACAATCCTAGCTCATCAGCCAAAAGCAGGCCCACACTTCCCACTGAAATACCAATAAGTTTATATTTGTTAAAATTGTTCTTCATTTTAATTATTGTATTTTTTTCACTACCAATAAGATATGTGCAGTGTACATAAGAATTAATTCATGTGTTTTTTTTAATTATAATCTGGCCCTCCAACAGTTTGAGGGACTGTGACCCGGCCCTCTGTTTAAAATGTTTGAGGACCCCTGACCTAGAGAATCCTCCATGTGCGACTGTGGAGCAGAACAAACAACTCAGCATCTGTATGCTTGTCCACAATGCCCTGTCTTATAGACAGAGGAAGAATTGTTTAAAGCTACAAATAATGCAGGGTCATTTTCTCTCTGTTACCTGTGTGGAAACAGAACCAAAGGATGTTGAGGCTGTGGGACTATGTGCAATTTACCTGAGAGGAAATCCCAATGAGTTTATTTATTATTTATTTATTTACTTTGCTTATATACCGCTGTTCTCAGCCCGATTACATGTATAAGTCATATTTTATGTATTCGCTAATCAAAATATCTATATCCCATCTGATATTAGATCATAACTGACTGGTGTAGTTAAAACAGTTTATATGTACAGATTTGGATGAAAATCATGAGACCCATTTTTAATTTTTTTTTTAATGTCAGTTTTAATTTGGTACTGGAATGAAATGTGCCTATCAGCCCTCCATGGGAGATGGCATTCCAAAAACTCAGATCCATGGCAGAAAAAGTCCTCCTGCATCCTCAGAGTGTGTCGCCCCAATATATAGTACACAGAGCTGGGCTCCTGAAGTAAATTTCAATTGTAGGGCAGGCATATATGACATTTCAAATACTGTGGTACCAAGCAAATTAGAGGTTTAAATGTCATTGCCACACCTTGAATGGTGTCTGGAAATGTATAGAAAGGCAGGGAAATTCATCTGAAAGATGGTTTCTACAAGCTGTTCTAGTCAGCAGTCTAGCTGTTGCATTTTTACCTGAGCTGCATTTTCTAAGCTGTCATCACATACACATGTAGTTAGTAGGTTCCCAGTGCATAAACTACTGTAGTGACACAGTTGTCCTTGTCCAGGAAAGGTCACAGCTGGTGAATCAAATTAAGCAGTCCCCAGTGTCCCTAAACACAGTGTCCACTTGGGACTCTATAGAGCTGGATCTAGGAGTACAGTGGACCAGTCTGGTATTGACAAATCACCAAAGATTAAACATGAGCCCAATGCATTTCCCCACAGTGAATAACTGAAAAGTTATATTAAGTCAGGGCACATCTACACTATACAATGAATGCAGTTTGATACTAACTGCCATGACTCAATGCTATGGCACCATGAGCACTGTACCTCTGCAAGGTCTTTAACTTTTTCCACCAGAAAGTGCTGATGCTTCACCAAACTACAAACTCCAGCATTCAATAGCTGTGTCATGGCAGTTAAAGTGGTAACCTACTTGAACCACAGATGGGGGAAATAAACTGCCCTTTTATAACTTTCATTCCCATTCAATTTGTGCCCATGGAAGTGCATTTTCTATCTACTAAGACTTTCTGTGACATCCAAAATGTAGACATCACGATCACAGCTGTCAGTCTTTCTCCCATGCTACTTTAACATTTTTGTTTGATGAAGCTGCTTGCAAAGCTTCAAAAGCTACTATATTTTTCATCTTCTGGTAGACCCAGTAGAGGTATTACCACAAGATTTATACTGGATTTTGTTGCTGTTTTGTCTTAGTCAACATGGCTGCCTTTGAAATGTTTCACAAGTTATACAGGTATTGCGCTAAACAAACAAGACCGATGCTTGAGATAATAATGTAAGATATTCTCTGCATTTCCCTTAAGCATTTGTGCTATAAAGAAAAAAGTGCACACAGAAGAAAACAGCATTGTTTGCTTCTTTATTTCAAGTCCACTACATTAAGTTAAATAATAAGGCAACACAAGTAATTCTTTTAATATCATAAAGGCAGAGTGCTTCCAGTGTCCTCTTGTGAGGAACCAGAGATGTTTCTGCAGAAGTATGTAGAATACATCTTAACAGTTATTTCATTAAAAGGAGAAAAGATTCTGAAGTATGTCCAGCTTTCCTATACAGTTTTAAGAAGCTTTATTTACATTACTTCAGTGCAACACCTGAACTCTTATCAAAAGAACTTCCAAAGCATTTCAGCCAAGAAACAGCTTAGAAGAAGTTAAACCAGGGGTTAGTTGTGGTTATTTTATAAATTAAAGGCAGCAGACACTGAACACTACACATTTAATAAACACTGGCTAGACTTTTTAAACTCATGCTTTACGCTGTGTATTATCTATGCAAGGCTGTGAATGTCAAGCTTTTTTTCTTTTTCACACCAATTGCACAAACTGGAAAAAGTGCAACCTTCATCCAACCCTCATTCAAGCACTATGATACAAACAAAGACTAACAGACCTCTGAACAATTTGCACTCTACAGGGACAACTTATCTGACTAGATATTAGGTACTTTGATCCAACCTGAAAATATGAATTTCTCTTTCTCCTGTAGTCCTATTGCAATGTGTGCCTCCTAATATTACTCCCAGGCTATATCAAAGCATATATTCACCTGTTATTTAGCCCAAGAAATACAGGAAGAAAAAAACACTCACTGAGTTTCACTGCATTTCTTCAAAGTAATCTAGTAATACAGCCGAGAAGCTTGAGTTGAAACATTTATACATATGTTTGTGTCAGTAATTTGGAGTAATACCGAATTTAAGATAATGGTGGATGTTTAAAACCAAAGTCTGGGAATTAACAAATATAAAACTATACATTTCTACAAAGGCTGCTACTACTAGGAAAGCTTTAGGAAAGCCATTCACTTATCATATGGAAATCAGGTATTAAGTACTGAGTGCAAAAATGCAGTGGGATCTGGAAACTATTCTTTTTAAGAGGTCTTAAGTTTCGAAGTTAGACACAAGAAAAGGGACCTCATTCATCAAAATAATCCAATATCTTTGGTCGATCCTATTCCTAAAGAAATAACACCAACAAGCAATTCCTATCCCAAAGCTTCAGTGGCACCCCTGCTTCAGTGAGTCCACTCCAGCAGCACTTTCATACATGAATTGCCACATATCCTGTTTCATTTTAAACCTTGCATATTATGCCCCCCAAAACTCAAGAATCCTAAAATGCAATCAAATGCCTTTTACATAACCACCTTTTGTTAGTATTACAGGAAAAGAAAATATCCCATGAAATATTACTGTTTGTTATACATATAAAAGGCTATGAGTGCTATTTTGAACAGGTGATATGTTCAGTAGAAGGTGGAAGCAAGAGTGTATCATGCTACTGATGCTGATATCACTCAGCTTTGGAATATCATTAAGTCTTGGAATAACTGTGAATAAAACCTTCCACAGACAAGGGTATTTTGGCATTATTCAATACCAGCTTTGCTAAACTGATACAAAAAAGCCAGAGAGGAAACCTTGTACAGATGCAAGAGTAAGACAAAATGACCACACTTGTGCACAGTGAATATTGTGCAGTAATGTCGATCAGACATGTGGCATAGTGATAAAATCACCAATTTACGGAAGCAGATGTAACACAGAGGAGAGTGAAGGAACCAATCACCCACAGTGTAGCTCTTTCCTTTTAAATCTACCTCTGAATCTTTTGCCTGAAAGTTGGGAGTGCATCCAGCACACATCGAAGGACCCTCTATGAAACAGTGCCTTCAGCATCACATCACGTTGTGTTCTTTTACAATAGTGTTGTGGTATCATGTGTAACCATTACTTAGGATCCAGTTACAGGTAAAACTTATGGAAGCAAAGGGCCCAGGCTGAGCTCCACGTGATGAGTGAGCCAGATGACTTCACAACTCTGATCACTCTCCTCCATGGGACGGATCGGGGCAGCAAGGTTCTTGAACTCGTGTTTCATCTTAAAACTCACAGTGACTTCCCCCTCCTCTTTTTGAGGAATGACCTTGATGAATATCCCAACTTTGTTAGCCTTCCGGAAGGCTATGACACTGCAAAGTCAGAAAAAAGATAATGAAAAACTTTGTTATACCCTTGCCAGACTAAATTCCACTAAAGGCAAATCAAAAAGACATGCTTCAGACTGATTCTCTGTAAAGAAAAAACTCGGATTTTAGCCAACGCTAAGATTATGAGACTATACCTCCTTCCAAAGCAAATAAATTTAGATGTAATAATAGATCTGGGTTGGTATGTGGTTTCCAGGGTGTATGGCCGTGGTCTAGCAGCATTTTCTCCTGACTCTGGAACTCCCTTCTTACCAGGGAAGCTAGAATGGCCTCTTACCTGTTGTCTTTCTGGCAGCAGGCTAAAACCTTCTTATTCAGGCAGGCTTTTAAAGAAGGTTTTTAGAGCAAGTTGGGGGGGGGGGGGGTTGCTATGATTTTCAGCTGTCAATATATTTTAACTGAATTTTAATACCATTAGGTTTCATTCTGTTTTAAAGTTTGCATATTTGTATATTTTAAATTATGTGGTCATACTTTTAATTGTGAACTGATTTGAGTCTCCTTCAGGAGATATAAAGTGGGGTATAAATAAACACAACAAGAATAAGAATGTTTTGCCTGCATCTGTGGCCTGGCGTCTTCAGAGCATCCTCTGAAGATGCTATCCACAGAGGCAAGTGAAACATCAGGAGAAAATGCTGCTAGAGCATGGCCATACAGCCCGGAAACCACATGACACCCCAGTGATTCTGGCTGTAAAAGCTTTCAGCAATACAATAATAGATCTATTTCTACGTTTTTGATTAATCAGCCTTCTGAGGCCATGGAAATTTGTGGCCCTCATTACACTATGACAATAACTTCTACAAACTGAGTGTTGTACGAAGTTATTTCAGTCTGGCCTTAACCTATCTGTGAATTTCACTGCCTCAAACCAAGTTCTACCTATTCATGGCAGTATTAACTGAAATACCAATTTGAAAACAGGGAAGACCACACTTACTCAGGATCATCCTGAAAATCTTGAGGTTCAGCCAGCTCATCATATTCTGCTGCTGCATCCTTACCAGCCAAAATCAACTCCTTGGAAGGAACCACCACCTAAAAAAAGGCATGCAGATTCAATGTATCACTATAGTATAACTTCCTATTCCCAATCAGTTCTGTGAATATACAGCCATATGAGAGGAAAAAGATTGCTAGCAACCACCAGAAAAATGCAGCTGTGGCAGGGAACCAAGGCACAACATTATTATTATGGATTTCTGTTCTTGAGCTGCAGTTCTCCCCAAAACTGTTTGATGCTACACACTGACATGTTATTGCTACAAAACAAGTTTTACAATTATACCTCAATTAATGAAGTAGATATATTCCTGAGTGTTACTTCTTTAACAGAAATTTTGATATCAAAGTTAGAAATAACATGAAAAGAACAGGTATAGGTTTGACAAAAAGAGCAGTTCAACATGTTTTGGCAAACCTTTTATTGAAAACTAATATGCATATGCAAAATGAAACAACAGAGTGATGAAAGCTTTGCATAAGAAAACAGAAACAGTTTGAATGTTCTATACACCACTTGATGAAAGCAGCTTCCAAAATGCATCCCAAGCTAATTTTTTTTCTCTTTCAATTATCTCTTTCCCTTTCAAAGATATCACTTTTGGTGGGCACATCTGATAGATCCATCTCTTCACACATGCTTAGTAAGTGATTCTGGAGCCATCTGTTTTATCTTGCCTGTTATAGGCACCCATGGGCGGCTACAGTAAGACTATCTAGAGGAGACTCTCAGTCTTTCCCAGGCCGTATTTCATTACATTTACTGTAGACATGCAGCTGCAACAGAACACCAAAAGATTTTCTCCAGCCCTCCTTCACAGTCTCTACGAATGCTACAAAAAATAAACAACAAAACCCTCCAGCTAGACAGAAGACAAAAAAATGCTGGTCTTTGGTAAAGCCTCTTTGTCAGAAGTTTTGTTAACTGAGGCATGTCTGCATGCATGGTAAATGATGCAGCAGACAATATATAGGAGAGAAGCATTTCTTCCCAGTTTCCTGCATTGGGCCCCAAATTGACTCATTCTACTCATGCTGACTCCCCCCCCCCCCCCCCCCCCCCCCGGGTAATCTGTTTCCTCTTAGCTTGCTATATAGGGCTCTTGGGTAAGTGAGCTCTCTCACACACACAAACACCCAATGTGAAACTGATGGAAGATGGACTCCCAAGAGTTATATAGCAAAGGAAATCAAATAATGATGCAACTCCCTGCTCCACAACTATGGGAATTGTGCAAGCAGACTAATAACAGAGGGAAATTCACTTCCCCAATCTATTCTCTCATCTTTTTCTATCTTCATAACCCTTTGAATGTCAGTTGACAAGTGTTAACAACAACAACAACTTTATTTTTATACCCTGCCACCATGTCCCCAAGGGGACTCGGGGCGGCTTACAAGGGGACAAGTCCAAGATACAGATGAAAACAGAACACATTAAAATCAATCAAATAAAAACATAACATAGTCACAAAATATCATAATAAAACAATCTTATGGCTGAGATAAAAGTCGAAGCTGGGTTCGGGCTCAAGTGTGTGCAATGATTCCTAGATGGAGCTGATGGAAAGTGCAAATTCAAATGAACAGGGGCTAGAGGGGATACCTTTAGAGAAAAAGTGTCTAGGTTACCGAAAGGAGGGCCAAACTAAAGTGCAGGGGCTTAGAATAGGATCAAAATAGTTCAACTGCCACAATGCCAACAAGGACATGACAAGGGTTTATTGTGTGTAGTACCTTACTACAAACAGTAAACCTCTGGTATGCTATGACATGTGTGATACCCATTCCACATGGGAGCTTATGCTTTTGTAGCAACAACAATATAAAATTCCAGGTCTTCAAGAAAACATTCTACAGACATATAGGGTCTGTGTAAATTCTAACACAGTATCATCTTCACACAAGAATCTCTAGTAGTAAAAAGGTTCAATACCTTTGCAGTGCTATTAATGTCATCTGGATCACCTTCCTCACATTCTTTCAATGTCACATGGGTAAGATTTTCCACTGGATTGGTGAGGGTAAGAAGGACTTGACTTTCCTGTGGAAGAGACAGGTACACAGAACACAAAGTTACTCTTAAACACGTTTGGTCCGGTGGTATCTTTTAGTCAGTTCATTCATTTACATCTACGACCTTGTTTCAAATTTGGTACAATGACTCAGCTGAAACATTTAGAGAAAACAAAACATTGTATCCGAGAGGCTAGTTCATTTTTAAAAAGAAACATTTAAAAACCACTCTCACGCAGCCTTTAAAGCTTTTAATTTTCACCCCAAAAGAGGCCTAACCAAAGCTGATAGGAACTAACCTTCATGTAGCGTAGATTAGGAATGGACAGGATTCTCACTTCCGGGATGTAGTTGCTACAAGTACAATTGAAAAATTAAAACAGCACATAGACCTGTTCCTCTCTAGCTCTGACTTTCACATCTTTTTTACTGATTGTTCACCAACTGACAAAGGGACAGACAGACATCTTGGTTCCAAGACAGACTGGATTTCTGAAGCTATAGATGTTTCAAAAAGTGGCAAGAGTAAATGATTTAAATTTAGTACACTTTATGTTATAAAAGAGGAAGTTATACTGTAGAATGGAGCTGGCAACATAATATCCCTCATCTTTTGGACTACAACCTCCATCAGCCCTAAACACCAGAGATAAAAAAAATTGTAAGAGCTGCCGTTCAAATTATCTGGAGGTCACTACAATGTCTATGCTGCTGAAGAATGTACCAAAATATCTGATTTTTAATTAGATGAAATGAAAGGACAGAATGTGAGTAATGAAAAGTCCACAACTAAAACCATCTGAGGTTTGAATGTGATCACATCTTCATACCATTAAGATTAGGCCATGAAAGCTTTGCTAAAATGAGAAAAACAGGTGAACGTTCATTTTGAGAGGTCAATTAATCATTCAATAAAGGAATCCAGCTATTTCCCAAACAAACACAGGACACCTTCTGTTATGCTACCCTTAGCTCAAGATGTTCATTGGATTTCTGGGCAACATTTTAAAATCAAGCAGGCATTCAAACCAATTTTTTTATAAGCCTGTTATAATATCATGCTGGGAAACAGGCAAATGAAAACCCTTCTTTCTGACATATAATATAGTATTCTTGCTTTCGTCCATTTCAGAGTACTTACACAGCCACCAGCTGGATTTTGAATTTGATAGATGTAGGATTGAACTCTGGCTTACTCAGATTGTGTTCGCATTTCTAGGAAAGAAATACATTTATCAAAACAAAAGATTAGTGCAGCCAAAAACAAACAAATAAACAATACTGTGAAAGCTACAAATGCTATCACTGAGTGACTTTTAACAATTCGTTGTGACAAAATCAACTACAGCAAGGCTGTCTTCATTTTACCTAAAAAGAGCTAAGTCCGGTGTGGCCAAAGTCCAGGGCTTCTTGACCCAGTGACTAGTGAGAGGCCCTTACTCCTTATTCGAACCGCCATAGTTCTTGTCTCTCAGAAGACAGATATAGCTTGTGGGAGGCAGTTTCACAAATGCTACTGCTCTGGCTTTTGAGGGAAAGGACAGCCATCATATGCTGAACTAAACCTGCCACTTTCCTGTCTTATCGAGACTGTAAGCCTGAGGGCAGAGAACTGTCAAATCAATGACTTGGACTGTCTGCACACCCCATCCCTCTCTGAATATTCTAGCCCAGTCATATCTTACCTGTTCATGCCCAGCATTATTTTTTAAATATTAATTATTACATTTGGCCCAGCCATAGGTTTATAAATGTTTGTTGCGCTATTGTTCATCTTTATTGCTTATTTTTGTTTATGAGATTTATTTTAATTGTTTTGCATTGCTTGTTGTTATTGCTTTTGTTATTGATGTGTTGTAGGCTTGGCCTCATGTAAGCCGCACCGAGTCCCTTGGGGAGATGGTAGCGGGGTATAAATAAATTATTATTATTATTATTATTATTATGACTTGGAAGTCACCCGAGGAGATTTTTTTTTTTGTCATGTCAGGAGCGACTTGAGAAACTGCAAGTCACTTCTGTTGTGAGAGAATTGGCCGTCTGCAAGGACGTTACCCAGGGGACACCTGGATGTTTTGATGTTTTATCATCCTTCTGGGAGGCTTCTCTCATGTCCCCGCATGAGGAGCTGGAGCTGATAGAGGGAGCTCATCTGCCTCTCCCCGGATTCGAACCTGTGACCTGCTGGTCTTCAGTCCGGCACCGGCACAGGGGTTTAACCCACTGCACCACCGGGGGAACCCGAGGAGATGTTCTGACGGAAGAGTAGGGTATAAATACTCCAAATAAATAAATAATAAACAAAGATACTGAGATATCATGCTCTCTCAGTATCAATTCCATTTGTCTGTCCCAAATCACCCACCAATCAACTTCACTGGATCATGCCAAGTTTTACAATGCAGTAAACCTCTCAGCTATTTCCAGGCTAACAACACAGAATAAATGTAAACCATTTTCCACACAGCCTACATACCCGGCACCGCAGCGAGCGTTTGATCAGCAGGTGTTTATGACGAGGGTAAAGCTGAGAAGCACAGATGGGCTGAAAGTCTGGCTGTAAGAGACGCTGCCGTAGGGTTGTCACTGTTCACAGTAGAAAAATGGAGGGGGGAAAGTTCTTTATGAACAGCTTTGAACAACAAGACACAGTAAGTACTATTGGAATTTATCCACTGATGGAGAAAAACACCAGTGCAGAGCGGTGTAATTACCTTCCGTTAGATTAATTGGTCTCGTGTAATAATCCTCAGGCAAAGGTTCCACTTCCTCCACAGCTTGGGCAGGTTCAATTTTTATCTCCTTCTGGTCGTCTCCTTCTTTCAGCCTGAAACAGAAGTGGAAATGAGGGCTCAATGTAGACAGCAAATTTTCTAGAAGGACTTGGAATGATACAGCTATAACAACATTGATTGAAGCAAGCCTTTGTGGAAGATCTGGAAACCAATATATTTATATTCAGATCATCTTATGAAACAGAACTGCTTGGCTGAAGCAATGTTCTGCTTAAAGTATCATCATTATCCTTATTCTTATCATAATGTGTATTTCTATCCCACCTTGTTTCCATTTTGATACTCAAAGCAGCTTACAAGTTCAAAAACACATTATTAAAATTCACAAGAAACAAAAGTAAAAACAATACAAATACAAAAAATTAAGATCAGATTAAAACATACATCACTGAATACACAGATACAGCCAAGCACAACAACTAGCAGGATGCAACACAATGTTTAGGTAAGACAGGCTTTATACATACATTGTAAAGTATTTCATATAGTGTTGCTTTGTTTGGCAACATACTATAAGTCAGATGTACATGTAACTGCTCAAATAATCCCAACTATATCTTAGCTTTCTTTGACTAGTATGACCATTGTATTTATTTATTTCATTTCTATGCTGCCTCTCTCAATTGTGGGACCCAAAGCTCACAAAAAAAAAAACCAACAATTTTTTAAAAAAATATAAGATAATTTAAAATTATCACAGCCAGGATTAATTAATACAGAATTTTCTACCTTTACATTACTCAAGGTTTTTAAAAGTTGTGTCTGTAGCATATACAAATTGCATTCCTCATTGAGAGTGTTGGAGGTATCTGCCTACAGTGGAAGAGTTTAAGTAAAGAAATGAAAGGCAAAGAAAACATTCCATCTGCTCTCCCCTTGTTCCCTCATTGCACCTCATTTTCCATTTTGCTTTCAAACAAATGGTTTTTCAAACAAACAAAAGAAAGTCTTAGGTAGAACTATATGGATCAAACCAACACATTCTTTAAAAAATACGCCCCACTGAACTCACTGGGACTTACTCTATGCACTCAAGGAACCTAAGAATAAACGATGTTTAGAAAACATTTTTCAGTTCCTTCCTAAGAAATTGCAACCAAATGCAATATGAAGGATGAACAAAACAGGTTCAGATAACAAAGCCCTCATGCAGGAAAAGGGGAAACCCCACAGAATGATTACTTATTCCTTGGCCAAGATAACGAAAACATCTCAGGTGCAAAGCCCAAGGCAAGACAGCTTTACTGTTTGCAAAACAAGTTGAAAGGTTCAAACACAGTGCAAAAATACCAGCACCACACACTGCTCCTGAATACTCACTCAGAAGACAGATTTTCCTTCTGAAGGACTACATTTTTCTGAATATGAATGGTCATTTGCAAGCTTGTTCTAAGTGACGCAATTATTGTAGACCAACCATGCACATAAGAGGAATGTATTACTCACGAAAGTCCAGTAAGGGCAGTGATAGGAGCCCCAGGTCTTTGGCGCTGCAATCTGGTTCCAAGACCATACTTATCCTATGGGGGGGGGGGGGGGGACATACAACCAAAAAGAAGAATATTAACTGAAAATAAACCTGCACATCTCCTTACATTTTGAAAGGTGAAAAAGGGCAAGCAAGAAAAAGCAAAATGAGAAAGTTTCTTTCTGCTCAAAATAAATTTGGGAATTTGGTCAATCAAGTGAAACAAACATTTTGAAAATGCAGAAAAGGAATGCTGCATGTTATAGCTGGTATAGTTAGTTTTGAACATAGCAATTAACATGCTGAGAAAGAATGTGTTTAATGGCTTCTCTTTTTAGCAAAAAAGAATAGAGTATATGTGGTCTGAAAAAAAAAGATGCAAAGTTTGCCTTGATGGCATGGGAAATTATATTTGAATGATTTATTATTTCAGAGACAAATGAATGAAATACTACTTTTTTCAACAGAGAAATAAATATTTTAAAGAGAGGCTGAGTTGTAGACATAGAAAACAGATGAACATATTCTACGCGGCCCTTTTTCCACAGATTGACTAAAGCTGTCTCAATTTTGAAACTAGGCCAATGGCCCATCTGAAATGGTTTGAGATAGCCATAATCATCTTGTAGGGCCTGCTACTGAACAGCAGTTACCTATAGAGATCAATATACCTGTGGAATGCATGTAGGTTCAAAAAATTTATCACTAACAGAAACTGAAGGAACTTACCACTACATGTATAGTGTGTTGCTGTGGAGAGCGCCCAAATTAGCAGCAGGTAGCAACGGAGACAAGAAAAATTCAGCAATAAAGACATAAGCAAATGCACAGAGCAAGCAGGTTATATCGTTTTCTCAGAGGCAGCAAGCATATGCAGAAATGTTAAGCTAAGCCAAATCCAGCCTTTTGTTTGACACGGACATGCTGCATCACTTAAAATTAAAATGAAAGAGACCTTAACACTCAAGATAATATCATTTTATCATTTTAAAGCTTTCAATCATGTGGTTGCGTTTTGCTAAATTCTGGGACTCGTGGTTCAGGAAGGGGCCTTTAAAATTATCTGCCAAAACTGTCCTCAGCTTCCCTAAACTGCAAACCCTAACATTCTGCAGGAGGCAGCCACAGGATTAAAAGAGGGAATCAGCACTTTTAAAACACTAATGCGTCAGTCATATTTGTGCTGATTGTGTCCTAGGTCGGAAAATACTTAGCAGCCCTCAGTCAACCTATTCTGTTTCCTGTCTAGCTGAGATTCTGAGCCTATGTTTCAACCAATTCTCCATACAAATGACAAATTAATGTAGGGTTTCAGACATGCAAGTGCATAAATCTGTCTAGTGGACAATCACTTAGTAAACTGTAAATTATTCTGAAATATTTCTAAACATAGGTGTCCAAAACGTGCTTGTGGAAAATCATGGATCTGATAAGTTTTCTGTGAGATGGTTCCTTTTAATTCCACGTTGATATCTTCCTTTCTAGAAGTTTCAACTAGAATAAGAAGTATACTTCTGCAACTGACAATCTAGCAACCAAGTTTTCACTGTGAGCTCTGGTATTATACACCATTTCCCCAACTCACGGAAAAAGCCAATGGCATGTAGGGTCGGCGTCGAACTAGTTTTTTACGATCCCTCTCCATCTTCTCCTTCTGAGCCAGCTGCTGATAATACTCCACCAGTTTGTTAATCTGCATAGGAGAGAATGTCATCTTAAAAAACAAAGCAAGACCTTTATTTTATAGCAGACACTTATTTTATGGGGCAAAAGAAACATCTTCCTTTCCCATTCTTCATTTAAGAAATACAATTCTTCCTGCATGTGTCTTTATAACAAGAATTTTTATATTCCTCTTCCATACTTGCCTAGTCTTTTATTTATCAGTTGATAAATAAGTAATTTCTATTTTAAAGGAGTCAACCTGAGAACTTCACAGTATTTTCTCAAGGTTTTATCATCTCTGCTTTTTCAGCACAGAGAGGGACAATTCCATCTGTTTCCAGTTTTTGTCACCTCCGTGATTACTGTTAAGTCCATGACAGCAAAGGGTGGGAAGGGACATTAGCAGAACTGAAGGCAATTATGATAGAAGTCTACCAAGTGATGTCTATATAGCAAAGAAAACAACCATCTTGGATATCTGTTAGATGGAATTTATCTATATACAGTGAGCCCTCAGTATCCACAGGGGCTTGGCTTCAGGACTCCACATGGACACAAAAATCCTTTGATGCTCAACCCTCATTTTATGCAGTCATGTAGTCAAATGGTGCCCCTTATATAAAATAACAAAATCAAGGTTGATTTTTTGGGTTTAAAAAAATATTTTCAAGTCATTGATGGTTGTTTCCATGGATACAGAGGGCCAACTGTATATGATACACAGAAACACTGATGAACAAAGCATTATAATAAAGGAATTAAGGGTCTTTGAAACGGTTTGAGAAAATCTAATTTTTCTTCTCAGTTTCAAAGGCTCATATAAAGATTTCTTTGTATGTCTTTATGCTAGTTTCTGAACACTAATCAGTATTAGTCTTTTAACACCATGGCCTTTTGAACTCAAATTTCAGTATAACAGCTACCAAGCAGAGCACGTTTAAAAAAACAGGTTTCCATGATACAATCTCCTCATAGATTTTCTACTAAAGACAAACCTATTCTATAGTTACCTTTTGGGTGTGAGGATTCTCTGGCTCCTGCCAGCCTCCACTGGCTGTAATACAAATAACAAGAACAATTTAAATGGAGCCAGTCACATGTTATGTGCTGGTCAAACAGAATAAAATATATTCAGAGTTACTGGCTGTTTCATTTTTTTCACATAATAGCACAATAAAACAGTAAACATGTTTGCTAAAGCTATATCTCTATTATTAATGTAGGGGTAAAGGGAAGTATTTTAGGAAAGGATTGGCAAACAAGAAGGAACAACTCAATTCTGATTCTTCTCTACAAATGCCCATGCTCCCTGATACTTGCACTTATTGTCAGCCATATCTGAGTTTTGGAGCTGAACTAGGAAAAAAATCCAATTCAACTGGGTTGAAGAAAGTATCAGCAAGAATCAGCAGGTGGGATCATACACTCCCAATGCAAGAGGAAATTACTACAGGATGGAAAACATTACAATTGTTTCTCACATATATCTCGAAAGCATGTATTTTTCAGAGAAAAATAATGCACATGTCTGTCACATCTGTACAGTACAAGCCTCAAATCTGCAGAGGATATGTTCCACGATTTTGCATGGATACATGCAACCATGGTTAATAGTGACATCTACTTAATAAATTTCTTCAGTAGAAGCATACCATAGAATTGTGCTGGAAAACCTAGAAAATGTCTAAAGTATTAGATCCTCCCGCACAATTCTACAGTTGACCACCAGTGCAATCACAACACCAAATTGCCTGTAGGACCTAGATAATGCCTAGAGAGCAAGTAATTTGGCAGACAAGGATAAATGACGCTAGGGATACCGGTTCAGTGGGTACAGAGATCATACTGTATTTGAATTCCAAGTATGGAATACTTATGGCTTCTGCTGATTTAGCAAGATGTAAAAACCCATCCATTACTGAGGGAAAAATAAGAGGGACTTGAACAATTTTTTTGCCTTTTCACCCAAACTGTCTCTATTTAGTATTTTCCCCTGCATAGCTATCTCCCAACAGCAGAGGACAGTACAATCCCTAGGAAGTATTTAGCAAGGAGCTGTAGAATAAAAACTCTAATGAGCCCCCCTCCAACCAATGCGGTCCCAGAACTTCTGAGAAAAGAAGCTGCTGCCTTCCTTTCTGGTGGGATATGAATTGGAGGTGCCTGACCAGGAATGGGATTCTAGATGAGGGGTTTGATGAATACCCAGTTATGAAAATTTAACTTCCATTTTAAGCAATAAAGAGAAGGCTATCAATATCCTAATGCTTTTAGAGAAATCCAGAGCATTACGGCATTTGGGATACCATATACAATGTGACCACTGATTATTTTTAAAGGCTATGGAAGAGCCAGAAAATGTGGAGAAAAATAATGAGGGGACTAGCGCAATTCCCCCACAAAGATCAGTTACAACCAGTCTGATTATTTGGATCAGGGTAGAAACAGTGAGGTTTTCTCCCTTCTTGTAATATTAGATCCTGGGCCATATGCCAAAGCTGAATTGTAAGAAATTCATAGCAGATACAATGAAACATGTCTTCATACTGGGTATAGGGGAACTGCAATTCCCTACCACAAAATGACCATCAGAGGGAGTAAGTCGGTGTATACCAGTTGCTATGAAAATACAACTTTGAAGACACTACAAACTGCTGGACTACTTCAGTTGATATCACACAGCAGAACTTTTCTTGCATTGTAAATAAACAGTTTGTGGGCTAGTATTAGATCTTGTGGAGATGAAATAGGACTGCAAATGAGATAGGCCAGGCATGGGCAAATTAAGGCCCTGGGGCTGGATGCAGCTCCTTGGGTGCTTACCTCAGGCCATCCTCAATTTCCGTGTCCTTTTGGCAGAAGGACATTGCAGCCCAGTGCGTCCTTATGCCAAAAAGATGGGAAAGGAAAGCACATAGTAGCTGAATGCCCTCCAGAGCGCGCTCAGACACTGTGTGTCTCGACCTCCTCCCAGCCAAAGGATGGTGTAAGCATCTTTATGCCAGGAGGACAGCTTGAAAAAGCTACACAGTGGTTGAAAGCCCTCCAGATCACTCTCTACCACCGCATAATGCCAAGAGGAGAGTCCGAGTATCGGCATATGGCATAATGATAGGGTAAGCAGCCCCGTCCTTATGCTGGGAGGACAACCTGAGGAAGACCTAGGCCCTGTATTGCCCCTCCTGGTCCTGGCCTCTCCTGGCCCCTCCCCCTCTCAGGCCCGCCCCACCCAACCTGTGCCTGGTCCCCCTCCCTCCTGACCCAACCCTCCCAGCTGGGCCCACAATGCAGCCCCAAGGCAAAAAAGTTGACCCATGTCTGAGATAGGCTCTTTGGCACACATTCTCAATTCTTTCAGTGATAAACAACAACCACAATCACAAGTGTAGCTTCATTACAGTCTCACAAGCCTTTCTTATCTGTTTTTTTTTAGCATTTAATCAACATGACATTCAAATTCTGAAAGAAGGATTCAAGATAGCATGCTTGGGAAGGGCTTTCACACAAATGTCTTACAAATGGCAATACTCACCGACTGATTTATCTGCCATGCCAACATCTCTGGAAGTCCAGCGGCAAAATCCACAGGCCAGATAGTAAGCTTTCTTCATTGTAGTCTTGGCTGGATCATCAGGGAGTGGAGCAGGGATGCTTGTTGCTCGGGTAGAAAGTGTATGCATGCAGCAAGGGCAGTCAAAACAGTTTGCACACCTGAATAGGAAGAAACAAGTATAAAATGATGAATGGCTTTAACCAGAACTCCACTGTCTTGATATTATATTTCATAAATCAGAAATGGACATTAACGGTTTTATTAAACAATTCTATCCTAAGGATTCAAGAGAAAAGGAAATACTTAACAGAAACAGTCAATAACAGGATTGGCGATGGTTTCCTTCTTGAAAAGGCAAAAACCCTTTTGCAAATGATTTTTTGATCTGGTCAGAATAAACATAGAATACAGGGATAAAGAAAGATTTTGGAATACTTTATACATATTCACTGGCATCCTTTTGATTAATCATAATGGCGTAAGCCTTCACAACATTTTTTTGTTGTTGCGTAGATTGGAATTCTATTCTGACCACACAGAAGACAAAATCCACACAATCTCAGCCCAAGATAAAAGCTGCATAGCCTCTCCCATATGACCGTTTCCTTGTTTTCAGAGAAAAGGGGAATCAGCGGGAAGATAGCCAACTAATTTTGATATAGATACATATATGTAGGGACATCATTTGCTGGAACATTCCAACAACTCCCAGAAATCTCTATGGGTGCCTTCTGGATGTGCCAAACCAATAATGTTCTTCACACTTATCCACATATCTATTTGGCTCCCAGCACTTTAGTAAGAACACAAAACAATTCTAGAAACTCTTTGTCCAAAATCAAAAGAGGAGAAACATTTGCAAGAGTAGCATGTATATTCACCTATTCTTCTTCAGCTTGGCTTCAGCTGAGGGCATGTTTTCCAGGCAACTAGGACAATAGTGAGAATCCACCTAAAGAATTGAAAAAGACTTGTTCATTCTTTGCCACCAGCATAAAATTCTTCTATTTCTCCAATGACATATTTAACAAAACTAAATTGTGTATCTAAAATGATTTGGAATAGGGGTCCGGAAGGCTTCCAAGTCTTCTGACGCAGACTTTGGGGTGCCCAGGTGTTTACAGCAGGGATATTGACCTCTTTATTTGGATCATGAAAAAAAATCATTACAAGATTTCCCTGTCGAGTTCTGGCCATAACAACTATGGGACTGGCTTGTGAATCAGCAAATCTTCAGCTCAATTCCCATGTCTGTTATTATGCAGCCCTGGGCAAACCACTCCTTCTCAACCTCATTCTGACTCCATCCATCCTATGGTAACACTTATATTATTCAATTTACAAAAGTCTAACAAGAATTTGAAGATGTTATAGGTTTACTACTAAACTTACAAATTAAAATACTGGGGGAGAAAGATAATAAGCTAGTGGCTGAAAATGTTTCACATACATTCAAAAATGTAGGTTCACTATTTTGTGTCACAAAACACTGGGAAAATATCTCCTTGATGAACAAAAATCATGCCAGTTATGCTACTGCCATCAGCTTGATCTTCAACATTGTCATCATAAGAGGTAAATAATCTGTTTCACAACTATGTGCTTTGAACACAGCTAAATACACAGCTCCTTCATCAAAACCAAGTGTGCAAAACATTTTCCAGCTTTGCACCACACATAGATGGGAGCTCATCTGATAAAGTATGTGTGCACAGACATATCATATATAGATGAGATGCATGAATATACATTTGCACACAAGGTTGCAAATAAATACATGCAATAGCCAAGGTAGTTAAAGTCAGTCAAAGAAAGCTGATGGTTAGGACTTTTTGAGTATTTATGCTCAGATCTGACAGTGTTCGCCTGAAGAAAAAAAAAGCAACACTATATGAAATGTTTTTGGAAAGCTCACAAAAACATCAATTTTTATCAAGTATGTTTAATTCACATCTTCCCTAAACAATGTGCTGAATCCTGCTAATTGTGCTACCAGGGTATCTGTATGTCTAACAATACATGTTTTAAGTTTGGGTTTTTTTTATTTACAAAACATTACTTAGTCTTGTTTTAATTTTTGCATCCTATAAATTTTTAATTTTTTGTAAGCTGCTTTTAGTCACAAACTGGGGGGAAAGCCAGCTAGAAATAAATATAAATATTACGATAATAAATATACATTGCATAATTAAATTAATTCAGTGTATGTACTTAAATTAATTTAATAATTTAAAAAACCCATGTACCCAATTTAGATTAAATTAATTTAAGACATTAAATCTATCACAACTATGCCAACTAAATTCTGTTAAATTTATGTATTCTATTTTTACATAAGTAAAACAATTCTAAAATGCACATGTTTTATTTAGCGCATCTATCACCCCAGCCCAATCTATCACTTTCCATTCAGTTTAACTGTGCTCCTGATTCTTTCCTGAGTCAACAGCAACAACAATCAAAGCATTATGGAGTCCTCTCTTTGTAGCTGACCGAACATCCCTTCAGAGACATGCTGGCTTTTAGAGCTCAAGAGGCAGCCTGTCTGAGAATAGATTTTAGAGCATTCTTCCAGAACTAATGCCTTAAATTCAACTAGACGGGTTTGACATGGAGCAAAAGAGCATGGGGGGAGAGAGAGAGACTTCTCAGCTGGAAACTGTCAGTGACAGAAAAAACAGCTGACTGAGTGTTTTTGGTGGTTCGGTTATTAACGATTCCATGGGGTCAGCAAGATGCACACTGCCTGCATATTGGTGAAAATGCCTAAGGAAGTAATTTGCTGTATTTTCAAACCCTGGATACATCATTCCCAGAATTCCTGGATTAGAGTGTAATTGCTTAGTAAACAGCTGCACATGACACAAAAATATGTAGAACAAGATCCCAATGTGAAAAAAGATGAAAAGTTAACTTTGGGATGCAGTCTTTTTTCTTAGAAATAGGTCCAACAAAAGCAGTGATCTCGTACTTGCAGAACTACTAATCCAAAGTTACCCATGTAAAGCTATTATCTCAAAGCTGATTACATAATGAAACAGCCTTGGGAGTCTAAATATGAATGAGAAATCCATCAGTGGACATCATCTTCACAGACAACATGAATGAACTCCCCACTCAGACTACAGCCTCTTGAGCTTATTTTTCATTCAAAAAGGCAGGCTGGGATGTGTTCTACGTCTTTGCATGTTACGTATGTTTTCCTTCTTAGATATCCAAGACTATAACAGTACAATACGAATAACCAAGAGCTAATGTAGTACAGTACAACCCCGGTATCTGCAGGGGATATGTTTCATGACCCTCCTGTGGATACCTGGAAGATGGTAAATAGGAAACCCTATACTTGTACTGGAGACATATCACAAAACACTTTCCTGGAGGAAGGTGATATATTATAGAACACAGGTAAGTGAAACATGGATACTGAATCAGTGGATTAGGGGGTTTTCCTATACAGTGGTTTGATTGTTGGTTAAATATTTTGGAAGATGGGGGCTGGTTCTACACTGCCATGTAATGAAGTTTGAACTGCACTGAACTGCATTATATGGCAATGTAGAATCACTGGGTTGTTGTAGGTTTTTTCGGGCTATATGGCCATGGTCTAGAGGCATTCTCTCCTGATGTTTCGCCCACATCTATGGCAAGCATCCTCAGAGGTAGTGAGGTTTCGCCTGACGTTTCGCCTACATCTATGGCAAGCATCCTCACTACCTCTGAGGATGCTTGCCATAGAGGAAGGTGAAATGTCAGGAGAGAATGCCTCTAGACCATGGCCATATAGCCCGAAAAAACCTACAACAACCCAGTGATTCCAGCCATGAAAGCCTTCGACAATACAATGTAGAATCAGTTTAAGGTTCCTATTTTCGCTTAGCCATGGAAACCCTCCAGGCGACCCTTGGGCCAACCATGTTCTCTCTGCCTCAAGAGGGCAATGTAAACCCTCTCTGAACCAATTCTTGTCAAGAAAAGCCCATTCGCCTAAGGATCTCAGTATTGGGACACAACAACTGACACAAGGGACACTACCCACTTCCACCTTCACAGCTGTGAATTCAAACCACTGTAACAAGAACCTAATTGTAAAGCTCTGGGCACTGGAGAGGAATCCAATCATGTCTGAACATGATTAACACATACAAGCCATGCTAAATTATGCAGGTTGCGCATCCCTTATCCAGAAATACAAAATTTAACCTCAAGCCTGGCTGAGATGGGGACACCTTTGCTTTGTGATGATTCAATACACACAGACTTTGTTTCATACACCAAATTATTAGAAATAGTATCTAAGATTAACTTCAGCTTTGTATATAAGGTGTATATGAAGCATAAATGAATGTTGTATTTAGACTTGGGCCCATTGCCAAGATATCTCATTATGCATATGCAAATATCTCAAAATATAAAGCCATTACCCCCATCCCCTGTAAAATTCTTTGTTATTTATTTATTTACGATATTTCTATCTTGTCTTTCTCAAACCTGAAGGTGACTCAAGACGGCTTACAACCAGGCAGCAATTTGATGCCTAGCAATATACAATTAATAGAATTAAAAATACATCCAATAAAACATATTAAACCAATGCCTTCATTGATAGTCTCATTGTCACTTTAATGTAATACCGTTTTTGACTGTTGCATTAGATTCCGAAGGCTTGTTCAAATAGCCACGTTTGCACTTTTTTCCGGAAGGTCAAGAGGGAGGAGGCTGATCTAATATCTCTGGGAAGGGCGTTCCACAACCAAGGGGCCACCACTGAGAAGGCCCTGTTTCTCCAGTTGTGTCTGCGAAGAATGTGGAACCAAGAGCAGCCCCCCCACCCCCCGCCAGACGATTTTAAATTCTTAGATGATTCATAGAAAGAGATATGTTCACACAGGTAAGCTGGGTCAGAACCGTTCAGGGCTTTATAAAATGTATTGTCAAAGGCTTTATAAAATGGACTACCCTTTTCCGTCTAGCACCACATTTTGGCCTATGCTTGGATAATGAAACAGTACCCCATCACCAATTCAAAATGCTTCTGGTCCCAAACATTTTGGATAAGGGATGCTCGTCTGTGAGATGAAATTCCCATGATACAAGTTAGGGAAATAAATAAATAAATAAATAGAATAAACCTGAGGACAGAAAACTGTTTTATCGTGCTTTTACTTGTGAAGCGCTTTGTACAGTGATGGCACTATATTATCAGTAGGTGAGGATGACAGTGCCCACCCCTCCCTGGTAGGCCTGGCTCCCGCCCCCACAATGACAGCCCTCTCTCCTATCCAATGACTAGAGAAACCACACGTGCTGAAAGACAAGTGATCCAATCGAGGCTCCAGCCTGGAGGGACACCCATAGAGGGGCCAATCGGGAAAGACTTCGGAGCCGAACTCTGCTAGCCAATGGGGCGGCAGAGAAGAGCGAGTGGCAGCCATAGCGCCCAATAGGCACTTATAGTCCCGCCTCTCTCTCTCTCTCTCTCTCTCTCTCCAGCTGCTCCCTCCCTCCCTCCCTCTCCGCCGCCTCTGCCGCTTTACCTCATGAGAGACACACTCGAGGGAGCGGAGCTCGCTGCAGTAGCGGCAGAAATAGAGCTGCGAGAGCGGCATGCGGATCTCCTTCTCGCCGCGGACGAGGTACAAGACCCGCTCGGACTGGAGCAGCGACGCCATCTTGGCAAGACGGAACCAGCCCAGCCTTCGCCGCTCGCTCGCTCGCTCCCTCTCTCGCCGCCCCAGCCCACGTGACTTCCGGCAGCGCACCCGGAAGCCACGATCCCTGGCCAAGAGACATGTGGCCTCTCTAGTCACTTCCGGGTGGTACTCTATGCTCCTCGAGTGGCGAAGAGGCGTCATCAGCCGGGCGGGACGGAAGAGGGCCGGGGAAAGCGAATGAATCCTCAGAAGACACTCACTGGGGCTTCTTTTGGTGTACAAAGCATCCCTTTTCAATATCTCTTCTGCTACTTCATCACACTAGATTAAAAAATCCACTTAAAATCCGGTTTCTGCCTCCTGCAGAATTCTGGGGTTTGGGTTGTAAGTTTTTCGAGCTACATGGCCATGTTCTAGAAGCATTCTCTCCTGACGTTTCGCCTGCATCTGTGGCAAGCATCCTCGGAGGTCTGGGATTTGTTGTTTAGGGAGGAGACTTTAACAGTCTCACTAAACTACAAATCCCAGAATTATGCATGAGGCAGAACCCGGATCTAAAGTGGATTCATTCTCTAGTTTGATCAGTTTTAGTTTTGGCTTTGAATATCATTGGTAGGTAAAGGTTTCCCCTGGCATTAAGTCCAGTCGTGTTCGACTCGGGGGGGGGGGGGGGGGGGGTAGTGCTCATCTCCATTTCTAAGCTGAAGAGCCAGCATTGTCCATAGACACCTCCAAGGTCATGTGGCAAGCATGACTGCATGGACCGCCGTTACCTTCCCGACGGAGCGGTACCTATTGATCTACTCACATCTGCATATATTTGAACTGTTAAGTTGGCAGAAGCTGGGGCTGACAGCGGAAGCTCACACCACTCCCCGGATTCGAACCTGTGACCTTTTGGTCAACAAGTTTAGCAGCTCAGCGCTCTAACCCACTGCTCATGTGATATTTAGGAAATCATGTGGTTTTTAGGAAATATTGTGCAGCTATTAGGGTTTAAATACCCTAAAGGCACCAGATCACATCTCGTCTTAGAAGGTTAACAGAGATTGCATCTAAACTGTAGAATTAATGTAGTTTGATACTACTCAGTGCTGCAGAATCATAGAAGTTGTAGTTTCCAAGGTCCTTGGCCTTCCCTGCCAAACTGCCGGTGCCTCGCCATACTACAGCTCCTTGGATTCCAAAAGAATGAGCTAAGGCAGTTAAGATGATATCGAACTTAATTCTGTGGTGTAGGTGCACCCAGGGTTAGCCCTGGTTAGTATTTGAGAGGATACCAGGGCTTTAGGCAGCATTTCAGATGAGAGAATCTCTTACCTGAAAAACCCCCAGTGAAATTAATGGGGTCAGTATAAGTCTACAGGTGACTTCAAGGCATCTGCGCATATCACACGCTTGTTATGTGAAGGAAAGACAGCTTCAGTTTTGGGACTTACTGGTTTATTTCAGCATGAGTCTTTGGGGATAGTAATCCACTTGTTCACACACACTTAATGGTGTAAGTTTTCATGGTCAGTGTAAGGCAGAAAGATATGCAGAAAGGTACAGTTATAGGTATGCAGAAAGGTACAGCTATAGTTACAAAATGCCTAGGTTTTCATAGAGAAAGGAAAACGGATATGGACTTGACCATATATGGGAGACAAAGACAGGCTCAAGATGAGTTTTTTGTGAAAGGGTGAAAAATCGGTCATGAGACTTGCTAACTTTGCAGAAAGGAAGTAGCCAAGGCTAAAGTTAAACTTGCCAAGATCAGCAGATGTTCTCAGCTGTATTTTGCATATCGACATCTTGAGATGTTTCCAAAAAGGGGCTTGCTTATTGGGAAGCGAAACTTAAAGTATATGAGCTAATTGCTTAACATAACTATAATATTGACAGCTTTCTTGACCAATGATTTAATCTTTGGGGCGGCTCTTAAGGCCGAACCCCTTTTGATGTATAAGAGAACCCTACCCTTTGAGGCTAGTGTGACTTCCCCCGGAGACACCCTGTTGTGTCGGAAGTCATCCTAGCAGCTGCTTGCTAATAAACTCTGATTTCTTCTGAACCCAGTTGGCTGTTTTCCTGACTCATCTGCGCCTGCAAATCGGACTCAGTTTGAGCAGTTTGGCGAAGCCCTTGGGCAATTGCTCAGGGGAAGAGAAAAGCCTGCTTCAAGTGGAGTTGGCTATGTGAGAGGTGTAACAGACTAGTCGAAATCCAACACCCTTCAGGTTATTTATTTATTTACTGTATTTGTATACTGCCTTTCTCAGCCCACAGGTGACTCAAGGTGGTTTACAGGGTAAAATTCAATGCTTACAATATCATAAATACAATTAAAACATTACATATAATAAAAATTAAACAAAAACAATAAAATATAAATCCATAGTGTCTCCTTGTTAAAAATGCTGTCCGGTCTTGTTGTCTAGTCGTTCCGTTGTCCTATGTCAGTTACTCTGCATTTGCCAACGCTTGCTCAAAAAGCCATGTCTTTACTTTTTTTGGAATGTTAAAAGGGAAAGATCCAATCGAATATCTATAATATCATTTCTGGCCGTGGGGAACCTGGCAAGATTTTATCAGAGGATTTAACTTTGCCTTCATCTGAGGCTGAGTTGGGTGATTTTCCCATACAGTGAATGGGTTTCCATAGCTGATTGGGGATCTAAATCCTGGTCTCCAGATTTGTAACCCAATGCTAATATCAAGACAATAGACTAGCTGCCACTCTCACGGGGCCACTTCTTCAAAAAATGACTACACAGGAAGACACYAATGTATAATATAAAAGGGGTTGTRTCTGTGCAGGGTTTCTTTCAGGTAGTCCTGTCCTTCCCAGTGATACCCCAGTCCTAGTGTTTTTGAGTTTTGTAGACCTTCTGTTCCCCAAGGGCTAAGGGTGCCTATACTGTAGAATTTATGCACTTTGACAACACTTCTAACTGCCGTGGCTTAGTGCTAAGAAATCATGGGAATTTGAATTTTACAAGATGTTGCCCTTGTCACAGGTACGTGAACAGATTACAAATCCCAGGATACTATGCATTGAGCCATGGCAGTTAAGGTGGTGTCAAACTGTACTAAAATGGCACTGAGTGGATTGAATAACAATTTGCCCTTTTGAGTCTGTTTAAATAAAAAAGTATATAAAAATACAATAACAATAGCAATCTATACTGAGATAAAGAGCACAAGTGAAGGGCCTATGGCCTTTTATATCAAGGGTGGACAAAGTGTGGTTCATGGGATATTAGTATCCCTTCAGGGGCATGTTTGTGACCCTCAAAACTATATTTGTGGCCCCTCAAGATTCCCTAGAAGTCAGAGTTTGGCTCCAGAATACCCCAAAATGATCTCTAAGGTGTGCAGGGAGCATTTTTCTCACTGCAGCCCATGTGTCTGGAACAGCCTTGGGTCCTCCGGAATCAAAATAGATTTGTTTGTTTTTAATGTTTTGCATTTAAATGCCCCAAAAGAATCTCTAGGGGCCAAAAAAAGGCCCAAAGATATTTCCCCATCTCCTGTAGAGGGTGGTGGTGGGCTCTTTCTTTTTCAGGACCGTTGCAAGGAAAATCGCAACTCTTCGGGTTCTTAAGAAATCAACTGGGAGTGGAGAAGTGGTAAAAAGGATCCAGGAGGAGGAAAGTCCGGGAGGCGAAGGTTGTTCCGACGTCTGCAGAGGCCCGGCAAGTATAAAGTGGTCAAGTAAGACACTAGGTAACACACACACCAGCGCTGGGGGGGGGAAAGGGGGACCACTAAGTATCCCGTGGGGTAGTGGGAGGACGGGGCAAACCTTGCGGTTCCTAAAACGTGCCGTCGAGTGTCCGGGCGTCTAGGCCAAGGTTTGCTCCCCACTAGAGGCCATGGGTGGGAGAAACTCAAAGGCAGTGACTCCGCTTCAGTGTATGCTAGACAACTTTGACAAGTTTGTAGCTGCATCGAGTCAGGGAGATCCAGGAGATTTTAAGGACTACAGATTAAGGAATCTGTGCACAGGAGAATGGCCCACCTTTCCTTTTGGGTGGCCTGCAGAAGGGTCGTGGGACCTAAAGAAGATTAGGCAGGTAGAAAAATTTTGTGCTAACCATCATCCGGATCAATATATTTATATTGATGCCTGGGATAACGTGGTGACCCAAAATCCTGATTGGGTCCGGAAGTGTAAAGAAGGTCAGTGTATGATGATAAGGAAAAAAAGAAAAGGGAGTCAAGGTTAAAGTCCTTGCCCAGGAAGAAGAGCCGACGGAGGGATGTAGTTACCGGGGGCCGCGATATGCAACTCCCAACGAGCCCCCGCTAGCAGTGGCTCAAGGCGCCCAGGGGCCCGTGGACCAGGGACGGACATTACCATTGCCGGTAATTCCCAATGCGCCCCCACTAGCAGCAGTTCAAGGCGCCCAGAGACCAGTTGACCAGGAACGGGCAATAACACCGCCTCCATCATATGACAGCCCAGTGTCCATAGTTCTACAGCCTCCATACAGTGAAACCAATCCCTTCCGAAACCTCCGGGATGAATTAAGGGTTGCGGACACCACCACACCAACGGTGCGACGTCCCGCCCGAGAACCTAGTGATGCAAGCCCAGCCGTTACTAGAAGCCGGCAAGCTGAGCTCTCCCCTGTGGAAGGTCCGGCAGATAGTACAACGGCAAGGGAATTTCCAATAAGGGAAGTTAGTGTATTGGATCAAAATGACCAGCCCTATCAATTATATCAGGTGGTCCCATTTACCAGCAGTGACCTGCTGAATTGGAAAAGTTCTACGCCTCCCTACTCCGAGCAACCTCAAGCAATGGCGACTTTATTAGAAACTATTATAGCTACCCATAATCCAACGTGGCGAGATTGCCAACAGCTCCTCCAGGTCTTGTTTACCACAGAGGAGAGAAGGCAGGTGATCAACCAGGCTACGTTACTGGCGCAGAATCAGCCGCCAGCGGGTCAGGATGCGGTTGCTTGGGGGGCGCAGCGCTTCCCAGTTGGAGGAGATCTGGGCTGGAAGGCCAACATTGAAAACGATAGGACGACCCTGAAGACCTATCAGGGGATCCTGATAGATGCCGTTAAAAAGGGACCACCG